TAAACAAATCTAAAGAAATAAAGTTTAAATGTTCAAGCCAGTCTCGGATATACCTACACAGTAGGTTGAATGGACTGACGCCTATCAGAAAACAACTACTCCCTTGGCTAATACCACTGGTTTGAACGTTTAAAGTTCATTTGTTTAGATTTTTCACTGCCAGTCTTCAAGCATAGCCACTGGCTAATAAGAAAGTTTTTCTTCCTTATTCAGAGGAATCGGGCAAATTTCGGATATGCAGTTGGTTAGTACCTCTTCCACTAGATGGAGTGACATTTTTTTGTTCGCTCCAACTTAAAAAGAGGAATGAAATATTCTGAAAGAATTCCGATTTTCAATTATGGAATATCATTGACTTTAGGTCGATGATGGCCACTATCTTGCACTGACAAGTGGCTAATGAGCCCGAAACCGGTCTGCAAGTGTGCCCGTTCCATAATTGAGGGTCGACTCTTTCAGTTGTATTGCCAATTGCATATGCAGGAAATTTTCTGTGAAGATTCCTGCACTGACGCTTGTCAGATATAATCCAACGCCCTTCGTGGTATTAGCCAGGAGAGTAGTTGTTTTCTGATAGGCGTGAGTCCATTCAACCTACTGTGTAGGTATATCCAAGACTGGCTTAAACGTTTAAAGTTCTTTTCTTTAGATTTGTTTACTGCCAGTCTTCAAACATAGCCCACTGACTAATAAGAAACTAAAATAATAGTTTTACTATGTAAAATCATCCCTTAGATCCTGTTTAATTTCAAATTAGATCAGTTGAAACAATTCTGATTGGATTTCTCCCAAACTTCTTTAGATATAAAAGTGATAAATATCAGTAGGAACAAATAATCAGAAATAGCCACACAATCAATTGAAAGTTCAGATAAGATATGAAAAAATGCTCCTAATAATGTATTACACAGTGATTAATTTTCTTACCAGATCTGATATAGCTGGCAAGTTGTTTGTTTGGTCCCCAGCTCCGGTATTAGCAGACTCTGCATTATTCGTTTTGCTTCCCTTAATGTTTCTATGTTGAGGAAAGGTTGGCATCAATTTGGGATCACACGCTAGAAACAAATGAAGAATGATAACATGGAAAATGTTGATCTTTGAATAAAAATGTAATAAAGTTTAAACTTCATGATAGTTATAGTTATAGACCTTTTAAGATAATATTACCTATAATTAAAGTACAGTACTAAAATAGAAAAAAGTAATAACTTCAGATAGTAATTAAAAGCTACTTCACATCAATCTTTTAACGTGTGATTCCTAACACGGTTACAGAATTATTCCAGCTTCAACCAGATAAATTCTCTCGAGAAAAATATCTGGTCGAAGNAAAAACAGTCCAAACAGTGGACTAGAAAGGGGGAACACGCTCCAAAAAAAGCAAAAACTGTTTTTTCGGCTGGGAAAGTGATACTCACGTTGTGGAGGTTCTTTGAAATAACTACTCTGTAAACATTCCTCAGCAGTCGCTCTTTTCCTTGGATCATACATGAACAAGAAGTTCAATAGACGGAGACCAGCAGCAGAAAGCCAAGGGAACCTCTGTTTCAAATTGTTGTAAGGCTGTTGTTTCAGTGAGTAGTTCTGGAGTGCTGGAAGATCGCTGAAGCCAGGCCATATTGCGTCTGATGGAGTACCTAATGAAAGGGATTCAATGTAGTAATAATAATCATTATTCAAATAGTTATCATAAAATACAAAGTGTATATAGCACTATAGCAGTATGAATACATTAAAGATGAATATTTTCAACTAATACCTAAATCCTGGAAGCTTAAATTGTGACCAAATCATAAAATACTATTTCAGAATCAACTGAAATTGGCAATTTAGTAATATTCTTACCTCTATCAATGTATCTGGAAATGTTGAAATCCTGTCATTATTGAAAAATGAATTGAAGGGGTTATATTTTTAGGGGTGATTAATTTTTGGGAAAGAAAGTTTTTGGCTTTCTACTACTCCATCTTGATACAAAAAAAGGGATGAGGGAATCTTCCAAAGAAAGGAAGGAAGTAATCAATTTGAAAATAAGTAACTCTATACANAAATTGTTGATGGAACAGATACTATTAATGTAAACAAAAAATAGTATGGGCCGTAAAACTGTTCCCTGTGGTACTTCTGTTTTAACTTCCATTACTTCACTCAAGCTATTATAAACTTTGACCTTTTGTGTCCTATGTGATATTAGTCAGTTATAATGAGTATTGTAAAGTAAAACTCACCAAGCAAATCTACAATAAGCTCAAGTTGCTGTATTTCTGATCGCCCTGGTAAAAGAGGCTTGTGTCCTAAAAGTTCTCCCAAAATACAGCCTGCTGCCCACATATCAACACTTGTTGTTTGAGTGGGAGCCTGTAACAACAATTCCGGTGCTCTGTACCATAATGTGACTACACGAGGAGTCATCGGCTTCAGAGGCACCCCAAACCACCTCGCCAGACCAAAATCGGCTAAAAACGTTAATGAAAATTCATATTTCCAATACAACTTCAATGTTTAACCTACCAATTTTTACACATCCTTTATCAGTCATCAGTAAATTCGATACTTTAAGGTCTCTATGAACAACGAAATTATGGTGCAAATATCGTAATCCACGTAAAACTTGTAACATGATACATTTGACTTGGGATTCTGTGAAAGGGGCCTGCATATTGTCCAAAAGTGATGCCAAGTCTTGTTCGCAGTATTCCATAGCCAAAAAAATACTGAAAGAAAATAAAACTGGATGAAAATGAGCCGAAAATACATACTAAAAGCTTAATGTTATCAAAAGAATGATTAGTATTCCCATATGATAGAAATTGTAATCAAAATGGTTTGCATACCTCTCCAAACTTCGACCAACCACAACTTCTTTGAGAAAGACGATATTTTCATGTTTACAATTTAGCAAAACTTGTATTTCTCGTAAACTGCTAACAGGTATTCCATCATGCTCTCCCTCCATCCGTAGTTTTTTCAGAGCAACTATTTTGTCAGTCGCAGTATCCTTTGCCCGATCTAAAATCAATAAATATCCTTATTCTTAGTTCAGGTCTATCGAGTACTGAAGGGGTAAATCTACTATTTGAGGTATGCGAGAACAATATTATAATCATATTTATATTTACTTACACACTACACCATAGGTTCCTTCACCAATTCTGTTGAGTTTTTCAAATTCAGAAACAAACCTGCATCTTCCCAACTGAAAACATTTTGTGATGAATTATATTAAAAATAATATTGTAATATATTACCATGTCCGATTCTGGTATATTCATAATTTTACCAGTTAAGAATGAAGTGAGGACACCCTTTTTATTTACTGCTGCTGTAGGCTCTGAACCCTCATCAAACTCTTTAGTCATTATAGGAGCTAAAATGCAAATTTATAGGTTATGTTATTGGTAACAGTTTTGTTATGAATACTTACATTTTTTATGATCCACACTCATAGTGAAAACAATAATGTGAATCGTACACTAATCACATCAATTCAAATCACAAATTTCCCAAAACTCATCTCCAAACTAACAACTAATATTCAGTATTCACCCAACCTCAACACTAACACAGAACACCCTATCTATAGGGTGTTCTGTGACACTAACCACAAAACCACAGAATACCTTTACTACAGAAGTGACACTCAACACAGAACGACAGAAAAGCAACTATGAACAGTTGAAAATTTCGAGGTGATTACTGTCAACCTAAAAATTTCGTCAAGTGGTTAGTGAACTTGAACATAATTCATTGACCGTAATCAAATTATATATCTGCTAAGTTTCAAATAATTTGAATTTACCACTAAAACGGCATTAAACACCTCGAACACAAAATATAGGACTCAGAAACTTATCCACCAAGTTCAAAGTGCCGTTAGATGAGTGTTTCTTCTGTGACTCAACCTACAAAAAACCACAATAGGCTCAAATCTGACAACTGACACTGACACTGTTGCCAGTAGACAACTGTTGCCAGTAGAAAAATATTTTTTACCATTTTGTTTCAGGAAAATGTAATATATTCAGTGACTACAAACATCGGAAACGATTAAACGAATACGCTCTATGAAAAAGTTTATGTAAAGGTGCGTATTCACCAAAAAAGCGAGCACGAGCGAATATGAACGAACACGAGCAAACATACACGAATGTTCGCTCATGCTCGCTTATGCTCACTTTTTTGGTGAATACGCACCTTAATGTTCTACATTGATCATTAGCAACGCAGTTAAAGTCCCACTCAACAACTAAAATGAAACTGAATTCACGCTTTCCGCACTATATCTTCCCAGAATGGAGTTCACAACATCAAAATCTAAAGCTGGGTATTCACCAAAAAAGCAAACACGAGCAAGCATGAGCGTGCATTCGTGTATGTTTGCTCGTGTTCGCTCATGTTCGCAAGTGCTCGCTTTTTTTGTGAATACGCACCTTAAGAGACCATATCAGTGAGATTGAGAGGGAATTTTGAATTCCGACCCATCACTGGAACCGAATATAAATTAAGCGAGCACGAGCGAATATGAACGAACACGAGCAAACATACACGAATGTTCGCTCATGCTCGCTCGTGCTCGCTTTTTTGGTGAATACGCACCTTAATGTTCTACATTGATCATTAGCAACCCAGTTAAAGTCCCACTGTAATATTATTGTTTTATAGTTTGTTATGCGTAGTGTTGAAATATCCCAACAACTTTGGTCAGTGATCTACATTTTACTATAGGCCCTGCTTCCGAAAAACATCTTAGTAATGTTTTCCCCGTTGGTGATTACCATGGAAGAATCTTTCCTATAACTCTTTTTACGCTTCCAATTAACCTTTACCATACTCCTGCCATTGTATGAGGCAGCCAGTGATAGCAATTTAATGTCGATGGAGATGAAGAAATCTGGAGTTCATAAGCTTGAGTGTCCGGAGTGTAATAGTGTTTATGTGGGACAATGTGGTTGAACGTATTCAAAACGGTATGTTGAACATAAAAAGTATTTCAGACTAGGTAAAAACGATTCGACGTTTCCGTGAAATGCAACCACAAGTTCCCGAATCTAAACGATACGGATATTTTGCACTATACAGTACATATGAGAAACTTCTTTATTAAGGGTTTTTCGACAAAAAGTTATTCTTTATAAACGTTTGTGAATCCCCTAAAACTGAACATGCACCAACAAAATAGAGTAAAACACACGTTATAAACGAGGAGCCTTCAAATATTTGATTTTGAGGTGAAAGTAAAGTACCCTTATTTTGAAACATCTTGGGAAATGTTATAAAAAAAAGTGGTTTAGCATTGGAAAATACAGCTAGATTTGAAGTCAAGGTCATGTAAGTGAAGTTTTATTTTTTGTACCCATTTTGTTATAATGGGGACTACGAAAAAAAAAATTTGATAAAATGATAAATAGACAGCATCCTGTATACGACGTTTTATTCCTAAAGCCTGCAATATTACAAATTACACAATTATGGTATTAACCACGGTCAATTTTTTTGAAAAGTTAAATAATTTTCGAAGTTTTTGGTGCAACGTTATTTTAATTTTTTGTTAATACCGAAAATTACACAAAATTATACAGTATATTGTATATTGATTTTCTGGCGATTATTTTGGAGAACTGTTTTGGACAAGAACAATTATTTTGGAGAACTGTTTTGGACAAGAACAATTATTTTGGAGAACTGTTTTGGACAAGAACAATTATTTTGGAGAACTATTTTGGACAAGAAAATCTCCAGAAAATCAACGAGTTTGTTCCGAAGATGGCCGTGACTTCAAATCTAGATGTATTTTTTAATGCTGACCAACTTTTTTAAATAATATTTTCCGAGTTTTCTCAAAATAAGAGTACTTTACTCTTGTCTCAAAATCAAATATTTAAAGGCTCCTCGTATATTACGTGTGTTTTTCTATATTTTGTTGATGCATGTTTAGTTTTAGGGGATGCACAAAATTTTATCAAGAATAACTTTTTGTCGAAAAACCCTCAATAAAGAAGTTTCCCATGTGGTGCATACTTTGGGGATTTCACTGTATATGCAAGCAAGTTTTCACTAACTTTCAAATTAGCGTATCCACATTGTCACAGCTAAACAGTACTCAAGGTACTCAAGTAAGTTAAGGACCTCTCTATCATCACCTATAGTAGATATATATAAGTGCTAACATTATCATTTATTTTCAGTTTATTGTAATTGCTCGAAAATGTCTATATAGACGAAACTGCAAACATTTGTTACAAATGAAAGTGGTAGCAACACATAGAAAGTATTTTTCTCATTTTTCATGATCTCCTACAACAGCTACATCTATCAATTTCTTTGAGAATTCTTTGCACACATTTTCTCTATAATTTCGTGTATATCTTTGACTCAACATCTATGTACAGATTTCATCTTCATCTTTTTGTCATTTTTGCATCCTCAATAGGTCAAAAAACTCCAGGTTGTTCGAAAAATGTGAGACCACACAACCAATCACCACTTATAATGGTTTCATTGGATGATCTGCCATATTTTGTTGGCTGAGAACCCATTCCCGATTTTCTAGCCTGCTTCTTTTACTAGTCTATTCACATAAACTACTGGCTACCGTCCGGTAGGAGAGGCTACCGTTCGGTGGGACGACGTGGGTGATTTGTTTCACTCACTCAATCGACCGCTGTGCGAAACGGTGGTTCGAACCGCGAGGCCGGACAACTGATTTTCACTTCCAATCGTCCCGTCTTAGGAATCACACGTTAAAAGGTAAGATCTCGTTAGTTCTTAATTCGCACAAGTTTCGACTTTCGAGTGTTGTCGTTCGTAGGGGGACGACAGCTGATTAACGGAAAAACAGTTTTTTTTAATACTATAGTATATTGACAAATACCGCGAAGAAACATAGTTTTCTATTTAATTTATCCTTCTACTCTGTGTAAATTCTATGCAGAAATAACAGACATTGATATGTAAATATAGATAGATAGATATTTATTAGTGCTTCTAGTCATACATATTTTGACCCCAAACGAAGATTCCATATGTTAAATTGTAGTGTAAGAGGCTAAAATAGGTTTCATGATTTGCAACAGGCTGTCAATTTCTGAAAAAAGATTTGTTGATATTTTTTTGGATAAGTATTGTAAATGTTTATCCCATAGTAATTTTTGATGTAAAAATAAACCTGAAAAATGTACAGCCTGCTGATCATCAATTAGCTGATGTTGAGTAAATATGCAGTTCTTTGTTTCATTTGCATTAAGACACAGTTGATTCGCAGTAAACCACTGTGATACTCTCAAATGCGCTTCGTGCATATTAAACCAAAGAATGTTTGTAAATATATAAAACCCCTAATGCAGACGTTAATAGGGACAAGCGAACACTACAACTTTTAGTTCCAATTGCTTCAGAATGAAATTTTGATAAGTGGAGTACTACAAACTTACAGAAAGTGATGTGTCGACAAATATTTCAATGGCACTGATGAGGAATAGCTTTTTTTCACTTGTATCTTTTTCTGTTTTGAAAGAAGTTTCAATTTTGATAATAAAACACATTTGTCGAATATAATTTTATTTGAATTTAACCTAAAGCAAGAACAGTTCAATTGAATATTTTACATTACAGAACTTACTATGAAATATATACAGATCTGGTAAGAGATCGATTTCAACTTACAATTCAGTGAACAGGAGAGAGAGCTCGAATAAAAAATGTTCACAGCAGTGATACACACTGATTTCGTTTCAGCACTGTCGGTATATCAATAGTAGTAAAAAATCAATGTTTTCCTTTGTCGTTCTTGAACAAAACAACTTCTCTTTTCCTCTTACTGAACTTGTCCTTCTCGAATCACATACCAGTTCTTGTAGATTTGCTCTCAATCTCTTCTAAATATAGCCACACAAAATACATACAGTAAACAACAGCAATAATACCCCACTGTGCAGACAATTTACAATAATACTAAAATCATCTAGAAACTACAAGAAATAAGTATTTGGAAAACATCAGAAAAGTTGAAAAATAATAGCTTATGAAATTGCTATTGAATGATGAATCTTTTGTAGGTTATTCAAGTTACCAACTTCTTGCTCAATATAGGAAGATTTATTTTTATAACCGACTAAAAAATTATTGAATAATGACTTGAACGATGCAGCCATTACAAGTGGTAGGAAATCATAATGAAGAAAAGATTAATTAATGAATACTGTCAATTATACATTAATTATTGAATACTATCTTGAACGTACAAGTTTTTACTCACTTCCATTCCATATAATACATACAAATTCAAATTTATTTAACTTAAAAGTTGAATTATCTAAAGGCTTCTATTGAAAATTAGAATTCTTCTACACTTTAAATGTCTCATTGATGAATAATCTTGCCTGAATTTTAAAAAACTCATGTTCTACGTTACAGTGAATGAGCTCATATCAAGTTATTAAAAGTTGGATATCTACAAGAACAAAATTCAAAACTACAAAAAAAGAGAGCACTTTGTACACTGTACATAAAAGTTAGCTTCATTTTTCATCATATTGTTGAGATAGGACCTGTTAGAAGATATTTTCCAAACTCTTAATGAGGACAAGGGTCTATTTGAATCAATCACAGTCCTGAAAAGGAATAAAAAGTAACTCTTACAGAAAATTAAAATATATTCCTTTCAAACAACGTACAATTATAATACACCTGAATAGGTCACAGAAAAAATTGTGCCGCCGCTAAAACCCATGGGTTTTCAGATAAGTAGAGAAAAATACAAAGTTTTTGAAAGCAAAGTTTCCATGAAGACATAAGTGTTCAATTGTAGAAGCACAAGTTAGATTTCATTCGACTAAATTTGGCAACTTAAATCCATCTGAAATTCACAGACTGCTGTAACATTATTACCATTGGTTAACCAGATAATGATCATTAAATATTGCAGAAATATAACAAAACTACTGCTAGTACTTGAAACCCCCAGCATCAGTTGAAGAGAAATGACACTAATTTAATACTCATAGTTATTCAACAGAAATACCTTATATCTATACCAATCCACCAGAGTTAAATATCCCCTGATAATGCTGCCCCCAGACAGCAAAACGCATGTCAAGAGACAGCTTTCTGTTTTCATCAGATGTATTTACAACAAAATTATATAACTTTTAGTCTCCTTATGAACAATTTTCAAAGATTTCTACCAAATTGAGGTTTTCTATGGCTCCAGCTACTTTTTCTGTCATTAATTTAATGTTCTATGAAAAATATGATAGAATTAACCGATATTTGGCGAAAATACATTATAAACTATTCAAAAAACACTTCATTGTGAGATTTCCACTCAACAGTTTACAAAACCAAGACACGTGTTTTGCTATACAATGCATCTTTAGGTGTCACAATACTGACGCCCCTGAAGAGTGTTGTGACGCCTGAAGAGGCTATTATATAGCGAAACACGTGTCAGGGTTTTGTAAACCATGAAGTGGAAACCTCACAAAGTGTTTTTATGAATACGTAACACTAATTGTGTTTGTTGAAGATCCTTTCTCATTGAATTATATTTATGTACGAATAAGTTATTTTCTAATGAAAAAATTATGGAAATTTGAAATGAAAGGCAATTTTTCGACTATTAAAATTGGATCACAGTTTGAGGTTATGACTATTAGTAAGTGTTTTATATGATCGGCATCTGATGGATAACTTTTGCTTCATTGCCGATTTTGAGGTCGGAGACAATTGTAATTTTTGTTACAGGTAGAAGGAATCAGATGCAAATATCCAATTGTTGCCAGAAATCACACTCAAAAAAATTTAACTTCGAAAATTACTTTGAATTTATCAAAATATAAGAACACCAATAGATACACTGACTAAATTGTTTCCTAACTCTCTATACATAACTGCAAATTTATAATAATTAGTTTTACTTTGTAGCATAACATAAGAGTTAAGAGTCACTTAGATGCTATTTTAAACACAATCTTCAAGTACTACAATTACTGTCTATATCTGTCTCCTCATTAGTGTTTTATTCTTATTTTTTGGAATTTGTGTATCAATTAAATAAATAAATAAAACATAATCAAATGAAATCAAATCAAATTAAATCAAAATGAAATAGTTTCATATAGAAAGCTGATTTTTGGAAAAATACCGGAGTTACAAAAACAGAAAATCTATTGGAATTTAGATAGAAACTATTTTATAAAACTTTTTACATTTTTTCATTGCAATATAAAAGAATTCATTTTCAAGTTAAGTTTTTTATTACAGTTATTAAGAAGTGATAATGAAAACTGTGCTTTCAGAAACTAATTTTCAGAAAAAAAATTGGTTGAAAAACTAATGTGAGGGAGGCGGAGATGGAGAACTGGAAAATGTTTTAAGAGACTTGGACTTCCTCTGTTGCTGATGATGTTGATTCGGAGGGCTGTAGGGATGTCTTCCTGGTGCACTGAAATGAACAAAATATTTTCAACTAAAATCATAAATACCTGAAAATTCATCATTTTCCCCTAAAACTGAAATACAAGTTAGTGATCACAGAGATACATAGAAGTGTTTCATGAGATTAGCAGAATTGTTCTAATTTTGCAAAAACAGCAATACCAAGCAGGGTATACCTTCTTGAACATAGAATAAAGAAAATAATAATTTATTATTTGTTACAACTGGTTTCGGTTTCTCAAGTAACTGATACATTTTGTCAAGACAAGTCCTTAAATATGTGTTCTTATTGAACTTATTGAAAAAATAGTAGCAAATAGAATTATGGCGTTTCTCGAAAAATACAAGATTCTAACTGATCATCAACATGGTTTTAGAAAAGCTAGATCAGTTGAGACTGCTATTGCTAGAAAATTCGAGTTTATTTACAATGAGATCGATAAGGGAAAGTACGTAGTTTCAATATTATTTGACTTGGCTAAGGCGTTTGATTCGGTAAATAGTGACATGATGGTTAGTAAGTTATATAACATTGGCATTAGAGGGTTCCTCCTGGAATGGATAAAATCTTTTATGGAAGATAGGAAAAAGGTAGTGACTGTGCATAATGCAGTATCTGATATTCAAGATATTATCCTTGGGGTACCACAGGGGTCCATTTTAGGTCCATTTTAGAACCACAAGTGATTCTGTCATTCCCGTATCCAGCAGGGCTATGTGGAAGCAGACATCCGATGGCCCAACAGTCGGTAATTGTGATTTATTATAAAAGATAATTAGTTATTGTTGTAGTATTGGTTTTGATAATTCAGATAACATTTGTTATTTTAGGTAACTGACTGAATCATTATATATTTAACGACGTATCTTATGTATCAGCTTGTCAAATGTAGGAAGAGCTTTCTGAATTCCGTTATGGTCCCGTCCAATAGATGTGCGTTCGTAAGAAGACTGGGGAGCGAGAAAGACTCATCAAGCCTCTTCCTAGATTTGACAAGCTGTACTTGAGAATGGTCTAACAAACCAAAACAGGTCGTAACAAATAATAAGCTCAGTAGAAATCAGACAAAACTTATTTTCTTTTTCCTATGTTCAATATGAATTTCTTCAAAATAAATAGATAATCGATCAAACAAGTTCTTGAACCTAATTTGAAAAGTAAAAAAATTGTGTTTTTGAAAATTCAAAACAATTAGTATTTACCAAATAGCCAAACATGCACTATTGGATGAATTTGATGAAAATAAGCATTCTAATAATAATATAAGCATGTTCGTGAAGCAGGACGTTGAAAATTTTATTGAAAGTGTTAAAAAACATAGCAGGATATTCGTTGCTTCTCCACGCAACGCCAATGTTAATGCTACCGCCTTTTCTCCTGCATTCCATCCATTCGCTTGTCAAGAACCGGGACACCCTGTATACACAATTGAGAAGAGAAAAGCTTTTAAACAAGCAACATGTAAGCATTAGTGGTTTTTTTCTACCTATCTAAACTAAATGGTATCAAAATGATATATTTTTTTCATGATGATTCCAATTTGTATGTCTGAATAACTCTACAGTTCTCAATTAGTGATGAATAGAGGCTGATCAACAGATTTGCAATTTCAGGTAATGATATTGCTTTACTTTTCACAAAGAAAAAAATATATAAAACTGGAATCATTTAACCTTTCTCAATGTATATGAATGATCGTGACCGAATACTTACTTGCTAAGCGGTCGAGATGTTTAGTCTTACTAATACATTTAATGATATCTTGACAACCTGTAATAATACCAACCCGATGAATGTGATTGTCCACTTTTATTGATATGAATGACTTAGTGAAAAGAAATGAATATTCTCGATAAAATTTTCTTGAGAAAAGTTAGAGAGATGAAAATACTTTAAACTGTTAATCAAATGAAAGCTTTTTGTTAAATGGTAAATGCAATAAGTGCATGTGTACCAAAAAAACCAGTACATTAAAACCATAAAGAGAAGTTGAGTGATAATGTTATTTGGCAAAATTTTATTAGGTGAAATGCAATTATTCAATTGGTAATAAAGACAGCCGAGAGTTACAAGTGATGCAGAACACAATGTCTCACTTGTAAAAATTATTTCAAAATTGAATAGATGAAATATCCATTCAAATTACGAACGAAACAAATTTTTTAATCACGATTCATCTAAACATTGTAAACTAATTCTATTAAAGATAAAAATTATAGAATTTCTACATTCACCAATTTTTTTTAAAACCTAGTATAAAGGACACTGCCCTTCATAATTCATACCAATTCTAACTTGAACCTGGAATGTCACTGGCAGACGGGAGGGCAAAAAATTGTTTTTTTTCTTGGAGTACTACAGGAGCCAATAGATGAAAGCAAAAAATTGATAAAAATTTGAGACATATCATATTTTTTCAATGAAATACATTTCCAGCCTTGTTTCAAAAGTGATTTTTTTGAAATCACCCTTATGGTAATATGTTGGTGACAAATATTCCAGGAGACCGTGCAAGTTAGTGCTAATTAATGCAAAACTAATAGAAAACAAAGAAATAGTTTACAGTTTAGATATTTGTTAGTAGATGAACGAAAATATTTTAAATTGTCTGTTTCTTGGTCCTCCTAATGATGTTGAGATATCTTTGTTTTCACATTCTACAATTTTATTTCCAAAGACACAAGTTTATATTAGAGAAATTAATTGAATTGAATACCCATCATCTAGACCAGGGGTCTCCAAACTACGGCTCGCGACAGCCAATGATTACCTAATTGTTGTTACTATTGCTGTGATAAGTTGAAGAAGAAAACACAGAATAACTACTCGGTTTTATTTACTTGCAAGGTAAAACTTAATGACAGAAATGATGACAAAGAAAACTTAACTTGAGTATGTAAGTTTAAGCATATTAATAAGTAACAAATAATTGAAATGAATCACAGTAAAACAAAAACACTAATGAGATTTATGTAATTGTGATTCTCCACCGACAATACTTTGTAGTTGTGGATCAATTTTACGTGTACCAATTATCAAAAGAGATTTAAGATGCTCGTCGGTTAATTGAGATCTGTAAACATTCTTTGTGTACTTCATCTTGGAAAACGTTTTCTCACACGAGTAAGTAGTACCAAAAACAGAAAACAACCCACGAGCAAATTNACTAACTCGCAGTTGCGCCGCCAGCCTTTTTATATGCAATTATTACTGCCATCTCGAGGTGATCGGAATACACTAGCTAGAACCAGAACTTTCTCGAACCAACGCGGTAATTCCAAATATTTAATTACGCCTAATGCCACCTAGCGGGTAGCTGAAAAAGATAGTGCATAGTACCACTACTCGCCACTAGATGTCGTGTGTCACAATACACAATAATAATTGAAATGCAAAAAAAGCGTAAGTTTGCTTAGGTCACGCACTTTGAGATTATCCTAGTCTAGAAATATAGTTAAGGGCAGAAATTGGCCCTTGGAACAAACTGAAAAAATCATTATGGCCTAAGGCTTCAAAGTTTGGAGACCCCGGATCTAGACAAAAACAGGCATATTTATCCAACAAAAATTAAAAATTTTTTACTGAATTAGAAGCTGGAAAACTTGCAACTTTCACTGTCTTTATAACCTTTCTAGTAAAATTCAATTTAAGATTATGTAAATCTGTTAGATGTTTCATTCAATAACAACCTTTCACGAAAAATTAAACAAACTTTATCCCTACCTAGTTGAACTTGTCGAAGGTAACGCTAGCTTGGGAGGCCTTATACTTCTACGTGCTGACACCAATGGACTGGCCGATGAAGTTCTATCCCTGTGCCGACGAGTACTACACATGCACGCAATGAAAACAACATTTAGCACAAAAAAAAATGCAAAAAAAATACAAGTGCATAAATAAGATAGAATATTATGTGCATAGGTATATACAGGATTGATTTTCTATATACAAACAGATTGAAAAAACATTTCGATATCAGTCCCATCTCAAAACAGTGAACACTGTGGACACAAAAAAATTACATACATACAGTTCAAAATTATAGTAGAGAAAAACTAATATTTCCTCAAGAAAGTTTAAGTTCAGTGGAGGCATATACAAATCAATAAATGGAATTCAAAAAAAAATTTATGAGTTACAGTTGAATGAAATTCTATATAAAGAACAGATCACAGGTACAGCTGCCAGACTAAGTCATGGCCGGGGAGAATCTCCTCCCTCAATACAATAATAATAACATTTATTTGGTAAGTAGGATACATTCCTAATACACAATAAAAAAATTATAACTAACAAATAATTGACAAATATTCCAAAAATCATGACTTATCATCTTATTAGTAATACCTTCAGTTACATTTGTTATAAATATGATGCAGTAGATCAGTTTTAAACTTTTTAAAAGTTGAAGCTGATTTAATTGAATGAGGCAATTTGTTGTACGTATCAAAACCTTTGACAAATACTGAGTTCATACTGATTTTGGTATTAGTTCTATGTATATGTATGTCAAGATTATTTTTCTGATTGATTCGGCAGTTACTTGATGAAGATCCATAGTAATTTCAAAAACTACACCTCACTAGCTAGTGAAACATGTTGTGATTATATTTTTTCAAATAGATTTTTGAGATATGTTCCAGTTAAATCATTAACAATTTTATGCACAAATATTGTCTGGTATAAAAGTCTCTGGGATACTGAAAGCCAATTTAGGGTTGTTAACATTGTAATTATGGGAGTATATCAGTTTCCTCTCAATATAATTCTCATTCCTCTATTTTGTAGTTTTTGAGTTGTGCCTGTTTGTTCAAATTGAAAGAGTATAAAATCGAAGCACAATAATCAAAGTGTGTTATAGACTAACATCTTTGTGTTTAAAGATAGATGCTTTGAAATTCTAGAGTAAAAATAGTTTTTTTGAAAATTTCTTATGTATGTAATGAAAATGTTCTTCAAATGTGAGATTGCAGTCCAGTTGAAACCCTAAGTATTTTACAGTATTATTCACTTTTATATTTTCATCATTAATAGAAATATTTATCTGGTTTATGATCTAGTATGATTTTTTTTTATTTGTATTTTGAAGTGAGGATCATGGCAGTAGTTTTACTCACATTCAATTTCGATTCATTAATTTTTATATATTTGTCAACTTTTTGCAATATCACATTCATTTTCTGTACAGGGGCCCAAAATACTTCCCTGGGGTACCCCTTTATCGTTTAATATTTCATTTGAAATTGTACCATTAATTCTTACTCTTTGTTTTTTGCCTTCAAGATAGTTGTTTCGAAAGCTCTCTTCAAATCTAAAAATATCGCTACTACAAACTTGTTGTTATCTAATTTGTTTATGTGTATGTATGTACGTTTTCTCCCACCGGCCATGACTCAGTCTGGTAACTGTAGCTTTGTAGAAACAGTGAAGTCTAACAGTGTACCCCAAAGCTCCATTTTGGGCCCTTCAATCTTTGTTGCTTACATTAAAACGAGGATCAGTAAACATATCCAGTCAGTATAAATCACCAGAATGTATTACAAAATAATCAATCTTGTTCACACGAATTTATATACTTTAAGTGCATTATTTTATTTTTTAGTATTTGTCTTTCGTTTCTTTTTATTATATAACTATTAGTCTAGAAACATGATTGTATCGCTGTTTTTTTCATTTTTATATTAGGACGTGTCCTACAAATAAATAAAGTTCTTCTTCTTATTACAATGACTTTTAACTTCAACACACAGTAAAATTTGTAGATCTCAGAACCTAAAACTATTTAAAAAGAATTCCATCTGGAGAACTGAAACTTGTCTTGAGGTTTCCAGCAATATAGAGGTAGAAAGAAATCTCAAAATGATTCATAACAAATAGAAACAATCATCACCTGAGCATCTGGAATGTTGTATGTATGTACAACTTACCTAGGACCTGCTGTTATAGCTGGAATAGAAGCATGACTGCCGTAAGAGTGTCTGTTTCTGGAAGAACCTGGTGTGATCCTAGGTATTTCTGATCTTCTTGTCTTAGACTCCCATTCATTGTTGAATTCCTCCTTCTCGTCATCGTCTATATTAATCAAGTCCTCCCTCTCCTCTCTATCGCCAGTATGCATATTTTGCTCTTTTTCAATTATATGTGCTCTGTCGCCAATATGATGGCCAATGGACATTTTCTTAGTTCCTGTAACTGTATCGGTAACAGTCTTCTGAGTCTCTTTGACGCCTCCAGGAGCAACTCTTGTACTTGATGTTGCTTTGTATAATTGGGGGCGTCCATCAGGACCCGAAGTCATACTTATGACTGTACTTGAACTACTATAATTTCCAGAATTAGGTATTGAGTCAAGAGACCCACTTAAAAGTCTATTGAAATTTGGCATGATTGGCATAGAGAAAGGAGACATTAAAGAATTATGCATGTTGTGACGGTGTGTTAAAGCTCTATTGTCAAAATCTCCGAATCCCATCATTGGTCCTCTCATCATAGCAAAAGGGTCAGCTAAGAGTGAATTCATCATATTGTTCATCTGGCGCATATGCCTCATATGAGACCTGAAATAGTTAGCAATTATTAAGGCAGGGAGATTATTCGTTTTAACTCATGTTTTTTTTAGTTTCTATTAAGGAGTTGAACAACATACTACACTAGTGGTTTTTCAAAATATCTGGAATTATTACAGAAACTAGAATTTTTTTTCTTGAAAAACTCAGAATCTTTTTTGTTCCTCATGAATAAGTTGATTATAGTCTTTTTGAAATTAACAAAATACTCTATTGCAGTTTTTTCCTAATTATCATAGTTCAGAAAATTTTGGAAAAATAGGAAAATCATGTTCACATAATTAGTTACAATGTTTTAAAATTAAGAACTTTCTCAATTGGTTTACATTTAGTCATGATATATACATGTCAAAAATCACACATTTCGAGATTTATTCAAACATTCAAGATTATTGGCTGAATATGAATGTTGTGATAAAAAATTCCAATAAAACCATAAAAAACTATGAATTATCACTATATTTCAACAAAACAGTACTAATGTTTTGACAGTTATAGCGGATTAGTAAATATGATACAAAAACTTCACATAATGAAATTTTATTTAATAAATAAAAAATTTGTAATATTTTCCTTGACAAAATTGTTTCCCTACGGAAATCCAGACGGTAAGTTGAATTTACCGCCCAGTCGAGCCTGAATGTATATATTCTAGAAAACAGCATGGCCGTCTAGTGTTTAGAAAGTGGTATTTTATTTACTGTTAGTGTCTTACCCGAAAATAGGATCGTCTTCCATGTCACCCATTAAAGATCCGAAAACGGACATGTCTTGTACTCCCGACACTTTGAATGATTATGAATACTGGAAAACCAGTAACATCCAAAATTGAAAATGTCTCTTGCCCACTTAATCGCTTTCCGATTTTCTTCAGTTATATCTACTTTTATTGTCACTATCACGTCACAAAATTGTCAATCACTGCCAATGTTGTCAGCGTGAGAAGGTGCTTTCTATAATATACACTGTTGAAAATGTGACTATACAAGAACCGAACATTTAAGCTGCTCTGCAATAGGTAGGTATGTTCGCTTAGTACATAACCGTGCGCACGTTTATCTCGCTATGATCGACAGATCTGTTGACTCGGTTACATCAGATCTTTGTTCCGGGTTTTCCTGCAGCTGAAAAAGCAAATGCGCCACTGGAATCAATAAAGTCGTCAATTAATTTTTATTGTTATTTTATAACTTTATGATTCGTATTTTGGAATTGGCAATAAAAAATTGAAATATAAATTATTGTTCGAGGGAATAATTTTTCAAAGGTGGCGTTGCATACTCTGTTAAGGAAACCAAAGAACTGTCAAAGTGACATTAGCATTGATATTTCTGCTTGATATCATACTTGGTAATTCAACAAAAAGTCTCTCAAAATTTATTGAGTGAAGTATTGTATAAGGCAATGATCCGTTAATTGAAATATAATGCTAGATTTGAAATGGAAAGCGAAACAGTTTACGTAGTTGAATAATGTGATATTTGCGTAAGATAGAGAATTCCTCTACAAAGTTTCTCATTATATAATGTCCTCTCTTTTTCCAAATACCTTTTGTTGGCATCTCCAAAGAGTGAAGTACGTTAATAAAATTGTATGTTCATGCCCTTGCAAAACAGGTCAGGTAAGTGATTCCTGGATGTCGTCCACCCAATGTTCATGAAAGTTGTGTCCCAAACGCTACTAACCAAATATTTTGACAGCGGTTACCTGAAAAATATTTTATTGTTTATTACTTTTGTTACAGTTATCGTGCTATTGATGTCAATTACTAAATTATTTTCGATGTGGAAGCTGAAAACCATATACTGTATTCATACAAGACTCGTTTCGAAATATAAACAGTGGTATGTGGCTCTCTGAGTGGAATGAGGAATTTTATTTTATGAATAATTAAAAGTGCCGTAGAGTGTTATCGTCAAAATATTTTACATGGTATTTGTATTAATCTTGGAAAAAATCAATGTTTTCCTTGAGTCTGACGTTGAAGTTATGAAATCTAGATGTCGTCTATTCCGATACACTATATACAAAAAAAAGAAGAAGTGAATTTTCTTTTCGTAACCTCTACCTTTAACCTCTGAAACCTGAAGGTTTTTGAAATGTAAACATATTTATATAATTAAATTCGAAATGGCCTGTAGTGAGGGGCAGTATCTTGTAAAATTTATAGCTTCAAATTTACTACCAAAATTCAAAAGAGTTTTCAAGGGCGCCTTCAGTGAGAAATATCTACTATTGACGAATCTAGGGATTTCAGTATCTTTATCTGGCTTGGGAGATGCAATAGAGCAGCGCTATGAAATCATGAATGATGAGATAGAGAAATGGAATCCTTTAAGAACATGGCATATGTCAGTTTCTGGACTAACAGTCGGATTTATATGTCATCATTGGTACAAATATTTGGACAAATTTCTTCCTGGTTATACATTGAGAATAGTAATGAAAAAAATCATAGTTGATCAACTTGTTGGTTCTCCTTTGTGCATTTCAACATTTTTCTTAACTATAGGATATCTGGAAGGCACAGAAAAAGATGCCTTTATCGAAGAAATAAAGCAGAAAGCTTGGAAACTTTACGCGGCAGAATGGGTCATTTGGCCACCAGCACAATTCATAAACTTTTACCTGCTACCCAATAAATTCAGAGTGTTATTTGATAATACAATTTCCTTAGGTTATGATATTTATACATCTAGGGTTAAATTCACAAAAGGTAGTTCAGAATAATGGCAGATATGTAGAGAAATTCAACTAAAGTATTTTCAAACCTTATTGTCCCTCAAGAATTACATAATATCTGTGATAGGTATCTGTATATCCTTTTGTATATTGGTACCCAGTTGAAAATACAATTTTATTGAAGCTAATTAGTTGTTATTATTCAGTTCAATGGTGAATTATATTAGAATCTCAAGAAAAACTAACTGATATGTTGACGTCTTTTTTTTGGGCTCTGTTATTTCACAGTTGCCTTTCTTCTGTGATATTTGCAGATAGAGACAGCAAGCAATTTCCCATTTCGAACACTGGTTGTACAGCAGACCCTTCTATCGATCCCATGGATAGAATCTTGATAAGTAATCATTGCCATTTCTTAGCGGCTGATAAGATTGATTTGGCACCATAACCCAGCTACAATAGGATTCGCTTTGGAAATTAGCAGAGGCTGACACATTACATAAAAACTGACATGATACATAGTTCATTTCTAACCATTATATGGTAGATTAATAAAATCTAAGAGTGAATTCATACACAAGTTGTTGGTGGTAGTATTATTGATTTAAAAGCATTAGATCTCATCGAGTCATACCTAAAAGACAGACAGCGATATGTATCACTAAATAATAAGACATCAAAAACTATAGAAGTCAAACATGGGGTGCCTCAGTGCTAGGTCCCCTATTATTCATCATATACATAAACAACTTACCAACATTTATTGATACCGTTGATGTTTTTATGTATGCAGATGACTCTACTCTTTTGTTACAGGACAAAAACTTGAGCGAGGTAGAACGTAAGTCAGAGGAAACATTATTGAAAATGAAAAACTTTTCAAATTCAATTGTATGTCCTTAAACAAAAATAAAACAAAAAACATTACTTTCACGAAAAATAGGCAAGCGCTTAACGATGAAACAACAGTTAAGCTATTGGGTTTTCATGTTGATGCTCAACTGAATTGGAAAATACATATAAATGAAACTCAAAAAAGGCTATATTTGTTTTGAGAAATCTCAGGGAGGTACTATCTAGTGAAGTATTGAAGACTGTTTACTATGGCATGGTACATTGCCATCTTGTATATGGGGTTCTGTTGTGGGGAACAAGCCCGGCTTGTTGTCAACTATTGGTGAGCCAAAAGAAGATTATAAGAATCATGGCCAATTTGGGCAACAGAGCTCACGCCAAGCCAATTTTTATTGAAATGAAAATCTTGACATTACCTTGTATATATATAATGGAGGCAATTCTATGGATACATCAAAATAAAGACAAATATATTTCGGGAACAGATCTTCACGGACATGATACACGAAATAAAAATCAATATAGAATGTTAAAAGTAAATAAGGAAAAAACAAAAATACAAACTGAATATTTGCCAATGAAACTGTACAACCAAATACCAGTGGAATGGAAGTATTACACAACTGAAAAATTTAAATACCAACTAAAACAATCAATGCTGGTGAATTTACTATATGATATAAATGAAATCTTTCTTCATTCATGGGTCTAAATACTAATATTTTTGCATGCCCAGAGTGTGGACTACATATTTTGTGATAACTGCTCATATATGTATAAATGTGACTGATTTTATATATGTAAATATCGAATTTTTCATATACTAACATATTTTTTTATTATTAAATATTTTTTGTAGTTTGTGACGTACCTAAACAAAAAACAGTTGTGTGACTACTGTAACATACTGTTTTTCTGTGAAAATTTTTAAAGGTGAATACATATCTTATCTTATCTTATTATGGATGCTTATAATCAAGGTTGGCCTGATTCAAATTCAATGGTTATTAACATTTTTGCTGAAAATTAAAACTCGAACCATAAACTATTGAACAAAATTAGTAGTTCTAAAAAAGTAAAAGTTATTTTTCCAAAAAAATTATCTAAAAATGAGTTATTTTCCCCAACCCAAGCAATTCAATACTCTTCTTGACGCGCGTTTCACCAATCAAGTTGGCGTCATCAGGCGATGAATAAAATACTCTTCAATTCAGTTAGATTTTTTCATCACCAAACACATAAACGTTGTTTTGTCTCCATTCATTTTCAGAGAATGACTTTTAGATTGCTCTACTATATGAGATATATCACTATTAATTATATTGATGGCGTCATTAAAGTCAGTTTATTTGAAGGAGTAGTAAAGCTGAGTATTGTCAGCATGAAAATATATCTTGGTAAGCTTTATAACACTTGCAAAGTTGGAAGTATATACTATAGTGAAAGTCCTAAGATCAAACCCTGAACTATACCAGATGGTATACTAATAACTTGTGATATGCTATCAGCGATTTAAATGCCCTGTCAACGACTTGAAATGTCATTCCGTAAAATATCTATCGCGTCATCATTGAAACCAATGAAATGAAGATTACATAGAAGCATTTGATGGTTCACTGTGTCAAAAGCTTTTGAGTAATCTAATCATATTAGACAGATTTTAAACAGATATAAAGATGAAAAAATGCTTTCACAGCTATGCAAAGATCAAAATCTTGACTGATGTGCAGGAAGGATTTCATTAATTGAAAGAAACTCGCTACTTTGTTGCTCAACAACTCTACCGGGTATTCTTTGATGTTGGCAAGAACACTGACAGGCCGTAAATCTTATTTGTGAAGGATTATTTTTTGGTATTGGTAATATTATCGCCTCTTACTGAACATTTACTATATAAAATGAAATGGCGTCTCTCTAAATTCAATATGGCGGAAAATGTGTATGCACCCTTTGATATGGGTGTCAAATACGATAAGATAACAAAAAATAACATGATGTGAGACTAAATCAAATATGGCTGATTAGTTTTTTATGCACTCCCATAATATTGGTTTCAAATGAAAGTGTTTTCTGATAAGAATGCAGAAAATTACACGACATCCCTCCAAATTCACTATGGCGGGCAATTTTTTATGCACCCGTATGATATTGGTGTCCAAATAAGAAGAGATAACGAAAAATAACATGACGTCTCACTAAATCTAATATAGTGGACTATTTTTTTTTGTAATATGGATATCAAATGAACAACTCACTAGCAACCAATCATTCTTATCTAAATAACAATAAACTTAAAATAAATAAAACTAGAGCAATGCTATTATCTACACCACATAAGATGAAATATGTTAATATGGACCAATACATACTTTCAATAAATAGTGAAAAAATCACATTTGTAAACGAGATTAATTATTTGAGTTTCATGCTACATTACACTCTTTCTTTCAATGCCCATTTTGATTATATTTACAGAAAAATTTCGAAAAAGATATTTCTTTACTAGAGTCTCATCTGAGCTATCTTTATATTCTAGATTAACGGTTTATAATGCAATTATTCAACCTCAGTTCGTTTCCTGTGAAAGTATATTACACTCCTTTGCTGCTACAAAATTTCAAGTCAACAGAAATTGCAGCGACGAGGAATGCGTATATTAAGATGTAACTGATATACAAATATTACTTTCATGTTGGACTCATTGAAATGGTTATCAGTATCACAGAGATTATACTTGACATCTATGATTTTCATTTTTAAAGTCTTGAATTAGTTGATGCCAGAATACTTTGATGATTTCATTGTCTTTAAATCTCAATATTACTGGAGTTTTTGTACCAATACCAAATCGTTATTTTTAAAAAACCTTGACACGTGTTTCGATCACCAAGTGATCATCTTCAAGAGGAAGATTAAACAGATCAAATTCATAATCATCAAACAAGAGGAAATACAGTACAACAACTTCACTTACCAAAATACAATCTTACTAAGCCAATGAAATCATTATTTTCTAAGGGTTTGAAAGAATACAATGAACTACTCAATCACATGAAAGATGTGAAAACAATTAATGGATTTAAAACTATTACTGGAGTTTTATCCTAACACCAAACTGTTATTTTAACACCTTGACACGTTTCGATCACCAAGTGATCATTTTCAAGAGGAAATTTAAACTTCTAAGTTGTAAACTTCTCTTGTTATTGATTTTTTTTCAATTGTATGTATATTAGGATAGGTTTCCTATTCAATCAAGATTCATTCATTACAAAGATATCCTGCACATCTGATCCTGAGATATCATGAAATAAATCAAACAAATATTTCTATCAACTTTTTATTAGAAAGCACCTTATAAACTTTCAATATATGTTCACAATCTCATTATTATCTGGAAATTTGAATGGAAAATTAAACATTCATAACAAGCCTAGTATTCAGTTGACAGAACGATAAAATATATAACATAGTCATAAAATTATATACCAACAATATTGAAAGTAAAAATTATCTTTTGAAGCTGAAGATTGAAATATTCTGCAATTTTAAGATTAATTTGTAATATCGAGTAAAATATTACTGCAGAAAATAAAACACCTTTTATAGTCTCATATTTCTGTGAAATTCTATTAGATTATAAGTGAATTCAGATTCATTTAATATATTTAATTCTCTTAAATACATGTATACCTGTAGTTTCGTTTTGACCATAAAAATAAACGATTTAATCTTTGACACAAAAAAAATCTTTCTTATCTAATACAATTGCAGCAGGTCTTCTATGGAATCATGTTAGTTCGCTGTTATTACACTGTTTGCACCTTGAATGAAATACTAATTACAAAATATTTTCTATCTTAAATACACTTGTAACTGTGAAGCACATTGTAATAATACTTTCAGTCCCGGCATAAAACTGGCTATTTGAGCAAAGTCTGGACCAGAAACTAACTGAGTATGTAAATTCATTCCCCCTGCGTAGTCGCCATTTTGAACTAGTTGAACCATTTCATGAAGAGAGCCTAACGTGTTGGCGGATAGCTGAAAAAAAACATTCATCAGCAGTGAATTACTTGAGTGAAATGGAAGCATCACCTTGTATTCTCTTAGCGAATCATATAATGCTTCCAGTTTTCGACCTACGTCCTCCAATTTTCTTCTTGTTTGCTGAAAGTTAAAATAATTATTACTATTCATATCATTTTAATTTTCCTGCAATGGCCATCTCTCGCGAGAGCCAAAATATAAAACAGCTCATTTTGAAAAATCTACCATATACAATTTACTTCAATCAGTACCTTCAATTTCTTCTTTACAGATGTAACACTAGTTTACATCCAATTTACGACAATAATGCCGAGGGCGGGTCTTTTTTAATTTTTGGTCCCAAAATGCGAAAATGATTTTTCCCCTAATTGGGGAAATTGTTTAAAATCTGGCAACACAACGGCTCTGCCCAGTATTCGAATCTGCTTCCGCAGTATATGAGACTTGTAATGCCGCTTCTCAAACTCCCGATACTCGAAGTTTCCAGAAAATACCAGAAATACGGAACCGCTATAAAAGTAGCAGGTTCTTGAGGCCCATTGGCATCCTCAGGTGCTCGTAGTGACCTCCTTCAACATTGAAGGCTGTCTTCTCAATGTCAGAGGGATTCATTTGAATCTGGTGAAAGCCAGANAGATTGTTATGTTTTTGCCAGAAATTTCTTTCTTGAGATACCAGCCAGTTCTGTTTGGACCACGCTGGTATTTCTTCCCATTCCCCACTTAATCCTTAGGCTCAGTGACCTGGAGTACACTCCACATCCTGAACCTTCTTTGGTTTTTGAGCCGTCTGTATAAATCCGTATAAAATATTTGGAGTTCATATAAGAGTAACTGTTTCAAAAGTAATTTTTCTTTCGGTTAACTCAATGTTTATATGAAAGTAGTTGTTTGGAGAGGGCTATTTTCCGGTTCGTTTCTGAAAGTTGCTTCTTTACATGATATTCATTTCTTTGTAAAGAGTTTATTTTGAAATGTATTGTCTTTTTTTCTTTCTTTGGAAGATTCCTACATTATTTTGGTATGAAGATGGAGAACTAGATAGCTAAACCCTTTTTCCCCAAAAATTATTCTCTCCTAAAAATATACCCCTTATATCTTAAAATTCTTGAAAACAAGGCTTTAACTTTATTTTGAAATGTGGTATAACTTTATATCTCTTTGTAATTTGTAATGTGGAACTTCTTTTCAATACAGCTCAATACTTGATTTTGTCCATTTTCATAAAAACAACACTCACATTGACTCACTCATACGACTGTTACATAACAACTGCGCGTCCGAAACGGCTGAACATTTGGTGAGAACGGTCAACAGGTGAACAACAAAATTCACTAGCTTTTATTTACGAGTGCTGCTATATTCATGTTGAGATCGGAAATTTTTCAGACCATCTTCCTAAAGTAGTCACAAACTTTAGAACACAACTCACCGGATTGTTAGCAGTACGGCTGCACTGATCTCTCAATTCATCAAAAACCGTCTTCATGTGGATATGTTCCTCTGGAATGGGACCCTTTTCAATAGGTTGAGGCTTTTCAGGTCTCACTGTACCGGACACATTTTGAAGCTGCTGGGCGACGCTTTGGACTGCATTTTGATTGAAATTGCCAGGGTTGAAACCAGGAGAGGTGAAGTTGTTCAGAACCGGTTGAGGCTGAAATACGGTTGGGGGATTTTGAGGATGAACTGAAGGATTGAAAGGTTGCCCAGGGGCAACATTTTCATAACCATTGATAGGAAGCGGTTGCGTAGGAGCAGAGCCGTAAATTGGATGAGTGATAGGTTCATTTACAGGTAAGTCCGGCTTGGCCTGAAATTGTTTGAAAATCCATTAGAAAGCTGATTCGAAATGTTGAAATATTTTTTTCTTATCATGGTATGTAGTATAATTTTGAGAAAGAGAGAATTACCTAAAATGTCATAAGAAATATATCTTGTCGACAAACATTTTTCTGCTAAAGTGTATTGTATAACTATATAATATTAATGAATTAAAAGCTTTTACATGAGTAAAAATAAAACTGAGTAAATAAATAAAATGTATAAAAAACAATACAAAGAGAAAGAAAAAAGTACATACAGTGAGGACGTAAAAAGTCTCTCCTTAACTTTTGAACAAACTATCGAGGTCGGGTAAAATTCAGGTAAAAAAGTACTACTTTTTGACATAAAAATGATTGTGGTCACGTGGCCCAGTGTCAAGAGGGTACCATCAACTTTTTTTTATATAAAGGGGGGTCACGTGACACTTGTATTTGAAGGCCTTCCGATTCTCTATCCACCGCTGTGTTTGTGAAAATCGGCCAAGCCGTTTTAAACTGACAAGCGTTTGGAATTTGCTCCAAATATGTAACAAATAAATTATTTCAACTATCAATTGCACAATTTTTTGTGGTAAAACAGGTGAGCATATTATTGGTATTTTAAATTTTGGTTTTTGTTCTAGTTTCTTATACCTTAGTTATTTTGCTGGAGACTCCAAATAGCATTTCATTTCAATGTCAGTCTAATATTGACGTTAATCATATCGATACTTTTGACAGTTTTCATAGATTTCAGCATTTCTTTTTATTTTTCCCCGTCCCCGCCCTTTAGAAAAAAACAACCAAAGCAATTTTAATTTACGCTGAAGCTAGGCGTGATTACCAAGAAGTAGAAAGCATATTAAATAAGCCCTTCCCAAATAATCCAATATCTTGTACCTACTTAAGGGAAATGGTCAGTAAATTTTAAAGGACTGATTGCGTAACGAAGGAAAAAGAAGAACAACAACAGCGGATTATTAACAACATTAACATTAACAACAATTAACAACAGCTGTTGTTAATAATCCTCAACAAACAAAAGAAACAGTAGCCATGGATTGTGGCGTATCAACAACCACTGTGAAAAAATATCTTAAAAAACACAAATTCATCGATATAAATTGAAAATCCTGCATCCATTAACAGAAGACGACCCGGATAGAAGACTGCAGTTTTGTGAGGTCATGTCTGACCACATAACCCAAAATCCCGGTTACATTAACTCTATTTGTTTTAGTGATAAAAGTACGTTTTTTCTAAATGGAACAGTAAATAGACAGAATATGCGTTATAGGTCAGACGTAAATCTACACGTTTTTTGAGAGGGTTATACTCAAATTCCAGAGAAGATCAACGCTATAGGCTGGTATTTTCGGTGACCGTATCTCATAGATCCAATATTTATGGCAGAAAATGTAACTATGCATCTGTATTTGAATATGCTTCAAAATCCATCACAGTATTCAAGAATTAGTTGTAGCAAACCCATATGAATTTACCATGGATGTTACCTTTCAACATGATGGTGCACCCCCTCTTTACTACATACCTGCCCGAGAATGGCTTAACGAGAATTCTCTGGGACGGTGGATAGACCGACGTGGACCCATTGAATGGCCACCTAGATCACCTGATATGACACCTATGGACTTTTTTCTGTGGGGGTACATAAAATCTAACGTGTACGTCACGCAGCCACAGTCACTCCAGGAACTTATGGACCGAATAACAGATGTGTTTTACAGTATTACCTCGGAAACATTTAATAACGTTCGGAATGAATTCCAAAACCGATTTTTTTCTGTCAAGAAGTAAACAGTGAACGTTTCGAGCACTTATCAGTATGAAACGGCTTTGCCGATTTTCACAAAATAGTAAAAATAGTACCATTTTACCTGACCTCGATAGCTTGTTCCGTTAAAAAGTTACGGGGGAAGAGAGAACTTTTTACGTCCTCACTGTTTATGAAGATTATGTGTTGAAGTTATCCTCAAAAAATTCATCTACTGTATAGTAAGCCTTTTTGACAAGAATTGCCTTCAAATTTCTTCTAAAAGATAGTAGCGTGACATATTCTGTTAAACTTTTAGGTAACTTATTGTACATTTTCACTCCATTATACAGTGTCACACATAAAGTCCGCATCAAATGGGATGTGCTTTAAAAATGATGCCAAATGACATGCATATGACCGATCAAGTGATTTTTCTTCCCTATCAAATTTGACATTTTTTCCAAAAAATGTTCAGAAAAGCAGTTATTGCTCGAAATTTCGAAAATCGGTAAAGAGAAAAGATGATTGTTTTTTNCAATTGGTAATAAAAATGCGTTGGAAAAATAAGTTAGGCATAAAGCACTAACTTTGTTGAGGTTTGGCAAAATTTGAGAAATCGGCAAATATCAAATTTTCGAAAAACTGTAAAAAAACTAAATTTGTACTAGAGAGCTAAAAATTGGTATATGGGTAAAAAATGAAAAAACAATCATCTTTTCTCTTTACCGATTTTCGAAATTTCGAGCAATAACTGCTTTTCATTTTTTGGAAAAAATGTCAAATTGGACAGGGAAGAAAAATCACTTGATCGGTCATATGCATGTCATTTGGCATCATTTTTAAAGCACAACCTAATGGAGATATCAAAAGTTGCTTGAAGAGATGAACAAAAAAAAATCCCTGATTCAAAAACAAACAATTGTTCATTGTCCAAAAATGCTTCTTATTCACTAAGCTTAGGTATACAATAACATTATTCAAAATAAAATTATATATATTTGAACATTTACCAGATTTTGAAGGTTTGACAATAAAAAAAAATTATAAAATGGTCTCAAAATCTGTCCTCATAAAATTCTGATAAGCTATTACATTATTTCTTAAGTTTTGTTTGTTTTGATTTTATGTGTTTTTGTAGATTCCTATCTCAATAAATATTTATTCTATGGTGGTATATACTGATTGATGGAGAATTGTGTACTCTATACATTGATGCTGTTCATTTTTTCCAAATTTTTATTTTTTATCTCTTTTCGCTTATTACTATATGATGTCGTTAAGCAATTTCAATTAATTTTTCTCTAAGAATTCAAATTGAACCAAAGCGCTGCCAAAACAACCCGAAAAATTACCCAGGCATTTGGCACATGAAAAATGAACGAAAATCTTATTTGAGAAATAAAGTGAAAGATACAAATAACTAACCTGCGGCTTAGGTGGTCTGCTAATAGGGGGAGGATCATTCCAGCCAGATGGCGCTGAGAAAGTATTCCAACTTGGTTGTGCAATTTCTGCGGTTGGAGGTGGCGGTAACGAAGACCCACCAAAACCTTGCACTGGCATCATTGGTGTCGAGTTGGGATCTATTGGAGTGGGGTTGAATGTTGGATTGACAACTGCTGAATTACTTGGCAGGAGAGGATTGAATATTTGACTGCCTGGGGTAGAACTAGGAACGATTGGAGGTTGAGTGTATGAATTGTTGGCAAAGGTGTTATTTTGGTAAGAATTCACAGGTTGTGGAGGAAACTGGTTTGCTATTTGTCCATATGAGTTAGAAGAAACTGATGGGTCAAGAACATATTTTCTTGATGGTAACCCAGCAGAGCCACCTAAAACAAAAAAAAACAAACATCCTCAGTAATGGTATAAGAATAATTTATTCTCGAGTTTCAAAGAAAGCATTGCTCAAAAAACTTACCATGGGAAGATCCTACGCTAGTAGGTCTAGGGGGATGACTTGGTGGTGGTACTTGAGGTGCTGGTGAAAAGGGTTTTGGTGGCTGAGTATAAGTACCAGCAGAGGCAACAGCTTGAGTCTGCCAAGGTTGATTATTCAAACCCGAATTAGGAAGCCCTGTATTGAACTGGTTTTGTCCAAAATGAGGAGCTTGATTTACCGCAGTTTGTCCTGGTTGACCGAACTGTTGTTGGGCACTGTGAAATGGGTTTGTGTTGTTGAATGCGTTCGTTATTTGACTGGAGAAAGATTGTCTATGACTACTTCTTCTACTTTGCTGCTGTCGTACTTCCTGAACATTCACTGGCTTCTGACCAAGGGCTACATAAAGGCGGTCTCTCAGAGACGCAACCTTCTCGTTGTTAGAAGAACCTAGGTAGTTGATAGCGGTGGTGAGGCTTCCTTGGGATGCCAGAAGGGAAGCGTAATGAGAAAGTAGATCTGCTAAAGCACCTGAGACCTAAGAAATAATCAGAATTTGAAATAAAGTGTTTGACTGCAAGTGTAACAATTCTCAAAATCAATAAAAAATAGGTTTCCTCTGACATAACGACTATTTTGCCAATTTGAAACAGTCTTGGTATTTAATAGTACACGTGGTATGTTACGATTAAGTGACAAATTCATGTTTTCGACTTCTAAATTCAAACCTGTGACATTAAACTGAAAAAGTATGAAGGTCTGGTGGATCTTTTTTTTACAAATCGAATGTGAATATCGATCTATTTCAAAAGAAACAAAAAATGTTGCCTCATCTTCCTCTCTAGTTTTCAATCTCTCTAAACCACTTTACTTGATGGAACACACAAATCTGAATTCATTTATGTGAACTGATGATTTGATGAACACTTCTAATCTTTCGAAAGATTTATTGCGAGCTTCATCCTCAGGTTATTGAAAACCATCTCAGTTTTTCTGAAATGTTGAAATCTCACTTAGGAAATCAATTGGATTCTATTGAGGAAGTCAAACTCATTTTCAATCATCACATTAAGTAAGAGCGATGACATCTCCTTTTAGGAAGACGCCATCTATAGGATCGACAGAGAACTAAATCCTTGAATATCAAAGATAAACTAAACTTCCCAAGGCGATCGATTGAGAAGTCAAGCTTCGATATCGACCGCCAAAGAGATTCATCCTCTGTCTTTCAGGGCAAGGCAAACTAGATCCCAAACACAACACATTTATGATTCAACTCCAGACAAACTTCATAGATGGCGTCTTCGTAAGAGGAGATGTCATCGCCCTTACTCACTAAGGCTTGTTCTTCAACGACAGTCGAGTCCAGCAATGAATTTCTGATTCAGCCTAGCATCACTGATGATACCTAAGGCTGGTTGAAACAATGTTGTCTGGAGCTGTATCATAAATGGGCTCTATTACACTAGTTTGCCTTGCAGTGAAAGCTGTAGAGAAAGACAGAGGACGAATTTCTTCGGCTGTCGATGTCGAACCTTGACTTTGCAACTGACCGCCACAGGGAGCCTCGTTTATCTTTGATATTTGAGAAATGAGTTCTGTCAATCCCATAGATGGCGCTTTCGTTAGGGGACATGTCATCGCCCTTACTTGAGCTTGTACTTTTAGAACAGTTGAGTCCAGCAATGCATTTGTTATTCAGCCTAGCACTACTGATGAGGCCTATGGCGGGTCGAAACAGCGCTATCTGGTGTTGAATCATAAAAGAATTGTGTTTGGGCTCCAGTGTACAACTAATCATTACATTGTTCAAAAATTAGAATGAAGAGATGATAATATTCTGAAAAAGAGAACTGACAAAATGTCAAATGAAGCACAGTTAATCCTGATATACAGTTTAGTTTGAGAACGGATATACTTTTACAATGACCTGAAAAAATTCTGAACCTCAACACAAAAGTTCGTTTCCACGAAAATTGAACTGATATAGCTACTGACTAACAATAATATATGTAAATTTATTTTTTATTTTTTAATGTCAAACGGTTTTATTGAAAAATGAACAAAAAACTGAAAAATAATTCGGAAGGTCCTAGGTAGGAGTCATCACACCACTCTCCTCAGCAATATACGGTATTGATCAGATGAAAAAATAATAAAATCATTGGGCGTAGTGTAACCTGAGTAAATATGTAAATACTGGGCTCAACCATTTAATTATTTTTTTATCTGATCAATATCGTAGACTGCTGAGGAGAGTGGTGTGATGACTGTTACCTATGACTTTCCGAATTATTTTTAGTTTTTGGTACATTTTTCAATAAAAACATTTTTTAAATTTATTTCGTTCTCAAGTTTTTAGTTTTTAATTTTTATCCACCCTAATGCCACAGTTATCGACCATGTTGAACTTCAAAGTGAACAGCTATTCTTCTAGTCAAGCTGTGTCATTTGATACTCATATTGGAGTAGTTGTGAAAAAATACGTAATCCGCCATTTTTGTATTGTCATCAAAACTAAATGTGTGTATCAAATTTCAGATCAATCTGTCAACAGAAAGGGGGGTCGTTTAAAAATACAAAGCACAACCTCCAGCAGTGCAGTGTTAGTTTTAGAGGTGGATGTTGTGATTTGAACCTTGATCAACATTTCTAAACTGCCCCGCTAATAAAGAAGGTTGTATCTACATTTTTCATGATCTCAAGCATAGCTTGTTTGTAAGAAAAGAACATTTTTCCTTACAAGAAACAGTTGAAACGATATGTGTACTATAAGTGAATATCTAGATTATTCATCGTCATACAAATTTTCTTTTCGGAACATATAATCAAAATAGTGTGAACCATGCTCATACATGTTCAAGATGACTTTTTTACAAAATGTGACCTTATTCATATCAATCAATGGACTTGTTTCATGATTTTTGGTTTACAGTTCATTTCGTAGTAATTTCAAATTGAAAAATAGTGTACTTTGTTTCAGCTCTCTAAATAGCGTTGTTTTCCTGTAATTAATTATTAAAAATCGGATTTTCTAGGCCCGTGACGTCACGAGCCTAGTCCCACTTCTTGTTCAATTGATCAATAGTAACAATACAAATAATGAACATTGTCAAATTGTAAAATTCACAGAGCGTATAAACAGTTTCTGATTTATTTGTGATTCAAAGTAAAATCACACTCACTTCCAACAACTAAATCTAAAAAGAAAGTGTGAGAAATGCATTGAAAGGGATAATTGATTATACATGGGATCCAAATAACACAAAACGCAATAAAAACATTTTTTTGAAATATCTCCGGCAGTAGACATTTTCATGTTGATATCACAGAAATTTTAATAATGGAAGAAACCAAATGTATTCTTTATTGAAACAACGATAAAAATTAAAACAATGGAAGTGTATATGAACCCGCTAACATTTGAATTCATGAAAAATTCTCCATATGAAATGGAGCTATATTTTTAAATGGTTCTCAAAGGCTCATGGAACCCTAATAAAATGAATCAATTATGCATTCATGTCACCCACCAAAAATAAAAAGTTCAACGTTATATATTATATATTAGCCATATTGCCACCCAGTCAGCTATCTCTCTTCAATGTATGAGGCAATGTACTCTTTCTGATGTTTCATAACTTCGTATTTTTGTTAAAAAAATTGGTACTTGGCAACACCGCTGTAGACACGATCAATTTTATTGGTCTTATATATTAGCCATATTGCCACCCAGTCAGCTATATCTCTTCAATGTATGAGACAATGTACTCTTTCTAATGTTTCATAACTTCGTATTTATCTTAAAATAATTGGCACTTGGTAACAGCGCTGTAGATACGATCAATTTTATTGGTCAACAGATACGCTTTATTTTATAATTCAGAATTTGAGTATGGTGTGTAAAAAAATGTTGTATATGTATATTAGGTTCCTATTTCAATGAACAATTTCAATTTCATTAGCAGGGTAGTGTTCAAACTCAGTCAGAAAGCTGTTTGCCGAGCCATATACGTCAGTTTTGTAATGCACAGTCAAATTTGCCCACGTGCAGATGTAGTTTTGAATCACTATGTATGGGCTGACTAACAATGAACCTTGAAGAAATACGAAGTACTTCAAGAACTTTCTTCAAAATAGAACATTTAAAGTGTATAACATTTGTCTACCTGCGAAAAAATAATCAATAACTAACCTGTACTTGCCTCCCTTGTCTTTCAATGGCTTTTTGTAAAAACGTCACCAACTCTATCAACTCCTGAAGGCTACTTGTTGATTGCATTGCATTTTCACTCCAACTCGAAACAAGTTTTTCAAAGCTGCCAGCACAAATGTAACAGAGTTGAGCATCCTCCGACAATTTTGGATCATTTTTACTTTCTTCTTCCAACCTCTTGCCCAATAATTCTGAAAGATTGACATTTCATCTCAGAAGATTCAGAAAATAATCAACATATTTTCTCTATCAAAATGCTTACCGCAAAGAACTGGGAGATCATCATCAGTAGCATGTGTTAAAACAGCAGCAAGGGCCTCTTTCCAACTGCTCACTTCGCAATTATTGATTATGGAACTCCAATCTTCGGAAACGATTGCAGATATCAGGGAGGAGACATAGTCATTGGTCTGTTCCAAGTATTTGAGTTGGGTTCTTGCCAGCAAATCAGGACCTCCTGTTGATTCAAAAATTTACAATATAACTGGAACTTTATTTGCGTGTATTGAGGAAAATTGAAAAATTATTTCTTTTTTGAATGAAGACACCACTCAATTTGGTGAAGCAGATTTAAGGTAAAATTTAAAACATGTGGATTTGAACAATGATGTTGAATAGTTCAGCAGGGTTCCACAAAAGACAGAAAGTGAAAAAAAAAATTAAAAAGTTGAAATATTATTTCTCTTGAATACCTTTGGCAATACTAGTTTATAAAAATGTGAATTTGAGTTTTCTCACCTGTTGCTGATATTATGAGAGCATCAGCAAAACGTTTTGCCTGCAAACAGAGTTCGACTGCAGCTTCAACGTTATTCATCAACAGTGCTTGTGTTATAAGGCCTTCAGTGTCTGTAAAGAATACTCTTAACATGATTTAATATTTTCGATTGAAGAAACATACCGTCATTTGTTTTTATTTTGAATAGTTCAGTCTTTTTTGTATCTTTTTGCAGAGGTGTGGAACTTGAAGCATCAGTGGCTGCAAAATTTTCTATCTGAAAAAAAAAAGATATCACTACTGCAAAATACGTTGGGCTGACAAAAGCCTTTCTCTAATGAATACTGGCCTACAACTCTCTAAGTAGTTCATGTCAAATATCAGTATCACCAATCGTTTCTGTAATACAAAGATACTGGTGAAGTTTCTTGCACATCCCCAAGACATTATATTGTAAGAAATATGTGAATACGCCATTGCATAGTAGACACTCAGCAGACTTGACCTGCTTATGCCTTGCTTCATCTGTTTTATTGCAAAATATGCTTTATTTAATTCACAACATACACTCTCAATATGTAAATCCCAAGTTAGTTGTTCATCCAAAATTGTACCCAAAAATTTAGCAACGGTTACAACATCGATATCAAGTGAGTCGCTTATGTGATCTGGAATATTGCTCCTTCTGTTAGAGAATCCCATGGAAACAGATTTGGTAGTGTTTAAGAGAAGGTGGTTAAGTTGACATCATTCTGAAATTTTTTCAATCACACAACTAATTTTTCTATCAATATTTTGAGATCTCTTCCTGTGATGATAGTCGTATCATCAGCAAACATTGTGATTTGACAATTTGATAAATGTTTCGGCAAATCATTAATAAAAATAAGAAATAATAGGGGTCCGAATACCGATCCCTGGGGAACACCTGAGTTTACGTTGAAAGATTTGGATAAAACAACATATTTCACAATCATGTTGCAATTTTTCATGTAGGACTCTATCCACTTGACTAGTTTTTGTGGAAGTTGGAACACCGTCAACTTCTCCATTAGCAATTCTGATGAGTCCATATCGAAAGCCTTGATTAAGTCAAACAAAATGGCTAGAGCCGACTTCTCTGTATATATAATGGGAAATGTTCCTCAATTTGGGTTATTACAGCAAATGCAAGTTTGAACAAAATAAAGTTGAGTTTAATTCATGAGTTTTTCAAATTCACTTTGAAAAGTATTCAAATTGATGTTTCAAATGTTGGGTTTTAATTTTTGAAGGGATTTGTTTTTGATGCACATATTGGCAACAGCGCCTATATCAAGTTGAAATAATTTATACGTACCTAGATATTCTACTTTAAAAAAGGAAAATTATCTTTATAAATCAACAATTAAGGCAAAATATAAATTATAGTTCAATACCACCTCCACAAGCCACATAAACAACAGTTGTTTTGTTATTTATTTATATAGAGGAAGATAGGTTAGGTGCACAAAATGTCATATGTCACAGAATGTCTCGGAACTCGGAACATAAGTAAACAGAACAGCACGCCTCTGAAATATGTCATCTTTGTTTGTCTCATACAGGTAACAGATTCATTGTCCTTTATTAGCTATAACCGATGTTGCCAAATGGTGAAATAGAAACGAATCCCTTTAAATGTGGAATGTATTATTTCATTCCTCTCAAGAAGTTTAGATAGAGAACATAACAGTGAGATTTTCCTATAGTTATCGATATCACTACTATTTTCCTTTTTATATATCAGGGTCACTAGAGCTTTCTTAAATAGATCTGAGAAAAAACTATGAATGAAGGATTGGTTGAATAGATAAGTACAGAACTGCTCCAAAGATTGGAAAAAATGAAAATTCACCTTATTTTTTAAACAGGCATCATATTGTATGACTTATGATTTGTAATCATGAATTATTTCATGTACAATAGGTAAAGTTTATCATCATTATCATGATCAATTTAGGAAAATTAACTTATCTAAACTCTACCATATGCTTAAACCATATCCACATGTATGTTTAATAAGAATTTTCTGGTATACTCACCCTATTTAAATTATCAAAATCATTTGTTAATCCATCCACAATATTCTGCTCATCTTTCGTTACATACTGATTCAATTTATTGTTAATGTCTTCGATACTATATCCCAACAAATTGAGAAGCTCTCTCCTAGGACTATCTTCAAAATTAGCCTTGAGAAAATACCATATGTACCTTTTGTGCTGATCATTCATATCTTCTGATTTTGCCAGACAGTAGTCTATAAATAATAATAATAATAATGTTTATTTTGACAAGTTTTAGAAATGAATCAAATTCACAAAATACAAATAAACATGATAGATCTCACTGAAGTGGTGAATAACTTACATTATTCACCTCTTGTACGTGAGTTTACTTAGCGTGCTAAATATACTATAACTCCACATAAAAAAAACAAAAAATATATACATATATACACATTCATATACACACCTACATACATATAACATAATTATTTGGTATATCTGGGTTTTTTTTTTTTGGTGGGCATATTAAATCTTTGTTTGAGTACATATAGATGAGAAGTTTTTGTCCATATAACTGCCTTATATCGCATACTTGACTTATCTCATTTGTTTGTCAGAGGGGTAACTGATGTTTTTTTTGTATATGATTCTTAATATTCATCTCTGTAAGACGTTTAGTTTTTCTAGATGTGAATCGTATACTCCTCCCCATCTAAGGATGCCATAGGCTAGGAGAGACTGAACCAAAGAAAAGTAAATGATTTTCTGATGATTTATATCCAGAAACTGATTCAAGAATCTGAATCTTCCCAAAAGGCCTCTCAATTTATTGACAAGACTATTGATATGTAGATCCCACCGTAAATGTTGATCCATGGTAATTCCCAAGTACTTTACTGTTGTGACTTCTGGAATATGTGTGTTTGAGTCAATTATTAGATTTCCTAGATTCGGTAAGTGACTTTTATATGAGGCAAAAGACATGTACTGTGTTTTATCGACATTTAATGTGAGCTTATTTAACTGAAACCATTTTTGAACCATTGAAAAATCACCCTCCGCATCGATTTTCAGTCTCTCCCAGCTTTGTGACGTGTAAAATATAGCAGTATCATCAGCGGAAGTATCAAATGAGGAAGAACACAATTGAATTACCCAAAAAAATAAAAATGAGATGTTGCTTAATAAAAGTTACTGTGCAACTTATCATGAAACATATCTAACCAATTGAAATATTTCAGATTAGAAATAATTGTCTTTGGGAAAATATGAAAAACACTTTCATTATTGTTTTTTTTTCACTTTTATCAACATTTTAAGACATTTTTAATGAGATTGAAACAAAAAAGATTTGATTTTTTCATGTGGAAATCAGTGTGGAAATCAGAAAATAAAATATTCTCAATCAAAAATCAAAACAAAGGTTCCACAGCGTATCGTTTTTGAATTTATGAAAACTACACATACACACAAAAATAACATTGAATTAGAACATAGAATGTCAATTGACACGAAATACAAAACATACCTGTGAAATTGCCATATTCTAATGCCTTTTCTAGTTCTACTGACTTCTTGACAAGTTCGGCCTCAGTAATAACCTGACTTATTTGAACAGTTCTGTGAATTACCGCTGGAGGTTGGCCTGCTTGGACATTTTGAAAGGCTTGAGCAATTGCTTCCTTATCATTTTCAAAAGTAATGAGTTTTCCCCCGAACTGAAACAAAAAATAGTATTGTCTTTATTATCTCAAAAAACATTAAAAGTTTATGAAAAGGGACCAAGTGAATATAAAAATTTAACAAAATACAAATTGATGAAATATATTTTTTGGGATATTGATATCTAAAGCAAAGTTTATAACTCACATTCCTGAACTAATTTACTTTCCAATTGAAATAAGGCAAATAACTTACCCCAAAACTGGCTCTAACCGGTCTCTTCAACCATCTGGGAGGTTTACTCAAGTCAACGCTGACAGGAGCAGTATTTTGTTGAGGAACTGGTGCCTGGACATATCCTTCCATTCCAGGAAAACTGTCTGCTATTTTATTTGTAGTTTGAATTTGCTGAGTTTTTCCTGAAAATTTTTGAGTATGTTGTTTTGTAATAAAAACTTTCCTTGAGTTGAATATCAATTGATTCAACAGATTTCATGTATCTGTTATGAAAAAATAATTATATCTTGAAATAGATAAGATATATATAAATGAATCAGTCATATGAAAAACCACTCTTTATTTTGTGTCAACGCCATCGACAACTTTGGTCATAAGCCTTGTGTTTTGGGTCAGCAATGTTATCAACTTCCTGAGCCACCTAGGGATCATCATCGATTAGCGATGTAATGTTGCAGAATTATCCCGTAAATTCTCTTGAGAAAAATATTTGGCCGAGGAAAAAAAAATGATTATTTTGTATGATGTAATTCAGATCCATGTACCTCACTGTTGAAGCTTGAGAAAGCTTTGCTGACCTGATAAGAATTTTTCATTGTCATAACCTGGCAGGTTTCAAAACATTTTTTGGTTTTCGACAAGTCCTAATTTTCGGGCAACTGTGATTTCTCAAAAAATTGATTCAGTTGTTATATAATTCATATACCTTTGAATAGAATAAGCAAAAAACGATTCTTTTATTGATAACTGGAGAAATCAGGAAACTTACAGTTTCCCAATCATTTCTTATGTATAGCTCTAGCAGTTCATTGAAAATGATCAAAACCAGCATTATCTGGTGACTGGCATAAGGCCAAAGTGTTAACTTGATATCGATTCTATTTATGAATAAAAAGTATACATTTTTCTGCAGTCCGTTATAAAAAATTAAAAAACATTCCACTATGAAATTTACAGAACATAAAAATTTACACGGTCATCAAACAAAAAAATTCGAATCTGCATTTTTCAGAAAATCTATATTTTACAAAGAAATAATTACAATAGAAATAGAAATAGATTTATTTGAAATAGATATCCTAATATACATAAATATTGTACAAATATATCAGTTATTAAACAAAATTATAAAAAAACTGAAATATATAAGACCTTATATAATGGAATATATTGGGTAAAACATAGCAGTAGTAGATGATAAAGAGATTAATAGAGAGAAGAATGACGAACAACTCAATTGGAATAGTATTGTGCCCGTAGATATTGAGATATTTTTCAAGAGTCAAATTAATTTTGCATACAGAATTATGACTATCAGAGTTGCTTGCTGCAATGAGAGTATCATCTGCAAAGAGGTTGATGAATTCACAGTCACTAATAAAATTTATGTCATTCAAATAAAGTATGAATAAAACAGGGACAAGTACACTCCCTTGGGGGACCCCCGTATCAATTGCTTTTTGGCTTGATAGGACGTTGTTTATTTTAGTACATTGAGATCTGTTGAGTAAATAACTTCTGAACCATAGCAACACCCTACCAGTTATTCCATAGTACTCTAATTTTGATAGCATATTACAATGAATTACCAAATGACGTTAAACAATTTTCCAACACAGAGAAATTCAAAAATAGCATAAAAAAAAACTATTTGTTTCATCAATTTACATAATCATATTTGGTTGGTTTTTTTGTTATTGATTGGGCCAACTTTGAAATAGCTCCCTATGAAGTTATGTGTTTATGTATGTAATTCCCTGTATAAAACCATTGTAATTTCTTGGGAATTGATGAATTATTGAAAAAAACAACATGAATAAGAGAAAAGTATTTAAAATAGGGATCAAGGTGATTTTTCTGAAATAAGTGCATATTGAGATTAGAATAAATATATGTAAAATGTAGCAATAGAGAGTTCTACTCTGAAAAAAATCTGAACAATTTAGAACTAGTTTCGTTCAGAAAGCTTTTTATCCTTTATATGTGCATTTAATTCACTCAATTGATTGCCGTGTCAACAAATGGTTCAAGCCGTGAGGCCATACGATCTATTTCCACTTCCTATCGGCTAACCCATGCCAGAAATCGCACGTTAAAAGGTAAGACCTCGTTAACCTTAGTTCGCACAAGTCTCGATTTCTGAGAGATGTCAATCATAGGGGGCGACAGCTGGTTAACGAGATAAACAGATTTTAACTTATAATTATGAATTTTGAGAAATAACAAGCGTAACAAAAGAAGGAATTATTGTTTTCCTAAAGAAGCAATATTATTTGAGTACAAAAAATGTATGAAATAATAGTGATTAATTGAATTTGTACAATTAGAATAATAGTTTGGCACGAAATATACATTTTTTGTGAATGAAGTTCTTAATAATAAATAACATCAAAATTTAACAGTATAACATGTTGTTTGAGAAAAAGCAATTCAACTTGAGATTTCAATCACAGTTCAAAATTCATATACTTTTATATGTCTTCAGGACTAACATTGACTCAAATTCACGTTATTGTTACAAACAATTTGAAATTTGATATATAGTACTGAACATAATTTCATTTGTGGATAAAATTATTGAAATAAACACTCACCACCCATCAAAGAATATATTGAAACATGTCCATCAAAATTAGGAGACGCTATTAGAGCTGGATTCCTGGGGCACCATACGACATCAAAACTCCACTGGTTAGTTCTAGCTACCTCTGCTAGCACCTCTCCATTTTGTTGATTGGAATTAGGATTCCAACAAAGTATACGATTGTCTTTGCCACATGAAACCAGTAAATCAGGGTCTTCTGAACACCAAGATAGTGAAAGAACACCTCTTTGGTGGTCTTGAAGGGTTTTGAGAGGAGATGTAGCAAATCTGAGATCCCACAGTTGGATTATTGGTGACTGGTCCTCTTCTGTTGAATATTTTCGAAGAGATTGAAAGGAAAAAAATATGGTTCAAATCTTGACGACAGGATGTCACCAAATCAACAGTAAGGGAACTTTGGATTACCTCTTTTTATTTTCTTGGAACAAGAATTTGAAAAATTTGTTTTGCCATTTACAAGTTGTTATTTATTTATTTATTTACAGCAATGCCTATTTTTTACAAAATAATTAACAAGTTCATAAATGTTTCCAAAAAAGAATTAAAACATTCTAAATCTACATTGTATGTATTTGCAAGTCTTAAAATTCTACCTAGAGATTCATTCCGGCCATAGTTGGTGCGACAAAAGGGTATTTTGAAGATTACCGAATTTCTTGTTCTCCTTGGATTCACACTTAAAGTTATAAGTTCGACAAGTTCCGAGGAATTGATGTTACCATTGATTATATAATGAATTAGTGTGGGATCTCATTCTAATCTTCTATGAGCCAGAGTATTCACGTTAAAAACGTCCAATATAATTTTATAGTCATATTCACCAATATGATAACCCAGTTTATATGCAGAGTACCTTAAAAACTTATTTTGACCATTTTCAAGCATATCAATATCCACATTATATGAAGGGCACCAAATTGTGGAATTGTATTCGATTATTGATCTAACAATTGAACAATATATGATTTTTATTGAAGTGAGAGATAATTCAGTTGCAGATCTAAGAATGAAACCTAACATTTTTAGTGCTTTGGAAGTAATATTTGCAATATGGGGTTTAAATGACATTTTTGGGTCGAGAGTGATTCCTAAATCTCTGATTGTGTTTGTTGTTTTAATTCTGAAAAAGGTTTATAAAAAGCAAGTTCAATAATGAACAATTTATCAACGTTTGAAATGAAAAATATTTCTTTTAGAGCAATTGTATCATACATTTCAATACAAGTAAAAAAAAATAAAGATTATGTTTACTCATTTTTCATAAGATAAAAATATTTTGCATCTCAATGTCATTTTTTGAGTTAATTTTTTAAAAACTCCATTTCTTTAATTGTGAAAATGAAGACTTCTTCAATTATTGTTTCACAGTGATCGAAAAGAGGCAATATTCGAATCAAAAAAGATAATCCATAGTTCCCCTAATTACAGATCATTCCACTTTACAGTATGTTGAGTAACAACAGAAGAAAAGAAAAAGAGTGTGATGAAAACTGAAAATATCAAAATATTCATCTCTCCCAACTATCTACACCCTAGGTTCTTGTAAATGCCTGCCGGAAATCAACTACTTCCCCGGCTAATACCAAGCTGGATATTGAATTATATCCGACAGACATTTATTCAAGATACCCCACAGAGGTTAGCTTAGCAGATGTTTCTCGTTCATTCGCAGCAGGATCAGACTGAAATCAATCGAGAAGATCACCTACAGATCAGTTTCGAGGTATTACCTCTCATCAGTGCAGGAAAGATCTGACCCAAACAGCAGTGTGCTTGGGACTCGATTAATAAGTTTTGCAGATGATAAAGAAGGACAATTAGGCAGATGCATCATTGGTGTGACAAGGTTAATAAATGTGGATTGAGAAAATATATTGATATACTTCACCTGATGCAAGACAAAGTTGTGTAGCAACGTCAGGATGCCAAGCAACAACTTTCCATCTGATTCGTGAAACTGTATCAGTGAGTTTGATGATTGGTTCATTTTTTCTTAGATCCCAGATAACACATTTTGATGGATATGTGGAAGCCAAGATGTGCTGAACTTGTTTATTCCATGACACTGATAGGACATCTTCGTGAGGCTGACTTTTTGCTCCTACAAATGAAATTTGTTAACTCACATCATTATCTTATAAATGGGTGGTTCAATTAGAAATTATTGGACCTTAAAATGAACTTAAGTAATAGTTTATTGCAATATTGTCACTAAATAGTTTACAAAACTATAAAATTTGTTTCACTATACTATATTTTTTCAACTACAGATCAATTATTTGTTTAAAAGTGGTTGACTATGTTTCATGGTGAATTTTACTAATTCGAACTTCCATCGTCTAATATAATATAATGTGTTCAATTATTTGTTTGAAAGTGGTTGACTATGTTTCATGGTGAATTTTATTAATTCGAACTTCCATCGTCTAATATAATATAATGTGATTTGAAATCTCCGAAAGAACAAATAAAATTGAGAATTAAAAAGAATTAGCTAGAAAATAACAATTATATTAAGCAATAAAATGTAAAATGAAAATACAATAAAATTAAAATGAGCTAAAAAATTAAAAACAGAAAATGAGAAACAACAAATGCTTATCATTATGAGTAACTACAAAGTAATATAAAATAACAAAAATAATAGGTTCTACAATAAACATATAACATATCTTCAAATAACAATATAATGCAGTCAAATATGAAATTGGTTACAGAAAGTACTTGTTGAAAACTAATTCAAGTGTAATAGAAAAAAATGCAACTTAGGAAATTCCACTGATTAGATTTTTTTTCAATTGATATTTTAATTTTGTCGTTGATCTGAAGTAGAGTAATATGTGAATATTGCAAAATCAAGTAATCTAAGTACAGCAGTGATGAATATGAACAGTTCGTTTTTGAATATATTGCTTATTGAAGAGAAATATCCCATACTCTCATAGACTTTTTTTTCATCTTAACTATGGCTTTTGTTTATATCTTAAAAGTCTGCTTAAAAGTTTTGAAACCAGGATAAGATGCAAGGGGCAAACAGCTGTGACTTCCACCAGAGCATAGTATTGTTTACTATCAAAAAGTTACAAGGATACAATAATTCAGAAAATAACAAAGAAAAAAAGCGTTAAAATGTAACAGATTGAGGAATCTGATCTCTATTTACTAATTCCATCAATACAATAATTCAAATCATATTGTACGAACTATCTTTTATCATGTGAAATGTTACTTATTGAAATCAACCAAGTATTATTAAGATAAAGTCAACAAACCTGGCGACATGGGAGTACTAGTATTATTCAAATCCCAAATAAAAATTTCCGAATCTCCAGCTCCTGTAGCAAACAAATTCTTTTGAAAATTATTGAAATCCATTGCATGGACTGGCCCCGTATGTTTTTCTTGCTTTCCAACAATGGCATCTTCACCCTTCAATAATTTTGAAGCACTATATATTTGAATTAATCCACCATCACATCCTCCAACTATTGTACCACTGGGTTCATTATCACAGGATCCCCAAATTATTTTATGGAATCGATGGTCACTAGGAATAGAAGAAACAAGTTGAGTATCTGGCCCTGGGTCAGAGAGACTCAATGAATAGACTTCTAAGGCTGCGTTAGTGTTGAATGAAGCATCCAGTTGCTGTGCTGCGGTTCCAGCAGCAATATAAATAGGATATTGACTTTTTGGAGACCAAGCCACATTGGCAGTTCTTTCTATATCTTTTACTTTCATATTGATGGATTAGTCTGAAAAAAATTAGAACTTAAGACATCTGACCTTTTTATTCAAAGAATACATGCATTTAAGGTTTACCTCACTTCAATCTATCAATAATTAATTCATAACAGGAATATGAATGCACGGTAAGCACTTCCAACGTGGCTTTCAATTCTTTTTGACAGCTACGGGATTACAAAAAGACTCAAAATTGGAACTACAACCAGGGACACGTCGACACTTTACTATATGCTTTAAAGCTGTATACGATAAAATATTTATTTTTTGAATTACTCATCAAATTGTTAACATAACGTAAAAATAATGCATAACAACGTCCACAAAAATAATGAAAAGTATATTCCTAATATTTTTATATGATGTGATGTCACCTGACAATGACAGGAATGACATAACCGAGGTTAACGTTGGTGAAGTGAGGCGAGCTATTAAATTCAACAAAAAAAATCTTATGGATTGCTTTAACCAATAGAAACTCTTTAATGTTTTGAAGGAGCCAATAGATGAATCCTTATCTTATAAACTTTTAAAAATAATTTGGATTTGTAACTTCGAAGTAATTGGAATATAGATTATTTATAGCATGAGCATGGAGTAGCGTTTTTCTGAAAAACTACCGATTGTACTGCCTTTATGTACCGTTGTTTTGCTAAACTTATGTTTATGGTATATATTGAAATATTTCCTCTGAGGTGGTATAGTTGATTTGAACCGTAAAGAGAATCATAATTATCGTTGGATGCGTAAGGACTACACGTTGTTTTGGAACTATTCAATATGTGAAACAGGTTCCAATTCATTCACCCCTAGATGAGAAAATACCCAGATATATTGTTTTTTCTTGGAATAATGAATAAGAGGTATACACAAGGGGTGCTTTGTGTATTTGGGTATTGAATTTTTTGGTTTGATGTATCATTTTGACCTTTGTGAATAAATTATATTGTTGGAGATTACAACCCTACCATTGAATGGTTGAAATAAAATTTGCAGTTGCATATTTGAGAACTCCATTTCCAGCATCTGTAGAAAGACGAAAGTCTTTCTACAGAGACTGACCTGATAATGAGTTCACAGAACCTTTATACTGTGATGGCGTCCAAAATAAAATCTTTCTGAATCAAACTTATTCTTGGCGTCACAGATTATTTCTCTGGTAAGAATGTTCGTTTTTTTATCAGGTAACTTCAACATGATGATTGAAATGACTGTTATATGACGTTACTGGATGATTTACGATGTATTCGATTAAATTCGACTGATGAATATTGGAATTCATGGATGTAGACCATAGGTATTGCTAGTATATACTATTTATAGACATATAATATATTAGATGTATTCATTTTAATTACTATTAGATTAAAGAATATTACTGGAGTTCTTTCCCAACACCAAATAGCTATTGACTCTTTTCAATTACACACTTGACAATAGACACTTGTTTGTTTCGAAAGTAACCAATAATGATATATTTTTCAGCTAACCACTGTCAAAAATTCAGGTTAGTAGCATACATTTTTGGAACATATCCCCAAAAACGTCTCTTAGGTGAAATCTGTCAAAAGTCAAATGACTTTACGTGAATAGTAAGTGTCGCGAGGTTTTGTGAATGAAGAACCAAAAAATCGGTTTTAGGAATTTATAGTTTCGTTCGTCAAATTTTCTATTAAGTATTAGCAGTTAAAGTTTTAAATTCAACATCTTTGCGAACCATGTCTTCACTAAATGATTCTAACGATGCATATGTCGCGAGGTTTTGTGAATGAGGAACCAAAATATCGGTTTTAGGAATTTATAGTTTCGTTCGTCAAATTTTCTATTAAATATTAGCAGTTAAAGTTTTAAATTCAACATCTTTGCGAACCATGTCTTCACTAAATGATTCTAACGATGCATATAACTCAAATTATGGAAATACAACAGGAATTTCAGGTATGTTGATCTAATGTTCATAACCTAAAAATCATGTATTACATAAATTCATATGAATTTAAAGGTAACTTGAGGCCGTTTTCTTCGCCCTATTTGAATTATGACCCTGGATACATTCCTCAAGCCCAGCCAGAGTTCATATTTCTGGAAGGTGCAAGTAAGCAAAGAGGAAGATTTGAACTAGCTTTTGGACAAATTGGTGCTTCTTGCATGATAGGAGCAACTTTGGGCGGTACATCAGGATTTTATAATGGATTGAAAGCGACTACATTAGCAGGTCAAACTGGAAAATTAAGGAGAACACAGTAGGTTTTTTTCAACCTGTATTTGATATGATTCTCCATTGCTATGGTATTACACCAAATTTTTTTTTGAGAAAGTTTTCACAATGTAAACCAATGGGAGCGCATTCATAATACAACCCTACCTTTACTAGCGTGCTGTATGATTGCTCCCATTGATTTATATTGTGATGACTTTAGGTAATGGTTGATTCATACAACAAACTTTCAGTCAGTAATCATTCTTTATTGATTGAATATGGCAATGTTAGAGGTAATAATTTTTCTAAGGATTGAAGTAAAACTAAAACTTGTCTTTTTCAAAAGTAAATTTAAAATACCTTCTGCTTGTAGAGCGAATCATTTCAATACTCTTGTTTTATTGAATATTGCCCTAGTTCACTTCTCCCTTTGTCTTCACTGGGAAAAAGTTACATGAACAAAATGAAAAGAATGACACGTCTTCTTTTGAATATAATTCATATATTTTTCAGGTTATTAAATCACATTATGAAGAAAGGAAGTGCCACAGCTAATACATTTGGATCAGTAGCAGTAATATATTCAGCCTTTGGTGTACTTTTATCTTGGGCAAGAGGGGCTGATGACGACCTTAATACAGTTGTTGCTGCCACAGCCACTGGATGTTTATATAAATCCACAGGTAACATACCTCAAATTGCACTATTTTAATAATAATACTAACTTAAAGGTTACTCAGTACAAAAGATACAAACATAACCTAACAAATGGCAGAGTTCAACATCTTCACATGATACATCAAGGCAGAAATTGCTCCTCCATCCGTAATACTTTCTGTTTCTCATTTTCTTATACAGTTCGGACGTAAATAGTCCTGTGATACCTCATTTGATGTGTACTTCAATTATCTAATTTAAAAAAAAATCAGATTAGCATTTCCTGAGTAATGATCAGTTTGTTTTGTGAATTTGTAAACAAACAATGAATATTTTAATTCACGATAAAATGTATTCAAAACTCACTCCAGTTTGTCTGTCTTGTCCAATTTTTCCATTAAACATTGCAGTCTCCTGGATCTGGACCATGGTGTCCCAAAAAAAATTCAACCATCTCGTAAAAGCAATTTTCAAGCAATTAAAGTGACAATAAAAAAGTAAACGCAGTTTTTATCAATTTATAAAAAAGAACCAATCGGTATAGTTTAAAAACACGGTTTTCAACTTTTTAATTTTTGAATGTTCATAAATAAATGGAATTTTTTTTCAGTTTTTTCGGCGATTTTTTTTGAAGCCTTCATAAAATGGCTCTTAAAGAAAAAAAAACAAGGCTCCAATTTTGTAAATTATCAAGATTTTCATTATTCCTCATTTTGGATAATTTTTGGAATAATTATATCATAGAAATTGAACTACCCACCAAGTATCTAATTTATTCAATCTTATACGAAGAATTAGAAGAAAGGTTTTAACGATGAACGAGAATGTTTCCTACTTATTCACCAAACTCATTATTCATGCAGTTGCAGTTTCATAAGAATGCATCATCTTTCCCACTAACCGATTTCCTGAAATCTTTGAAGTCCATTAGATACTCGTTAGGACAAGAGAATTGCTCCGAAATCTTGCTGTTCTTGTTGAATACTCTTCTTGAGCAAAAAATAGCAGAATCAATACTTCTGACTGCTCTGGATTGAATGATTCCGTACAGTCTGTCTCGTCCTGTATTTGTGATCTTTTGCTGGAAAAATCCTCACTTGTTTACTTTGTAGTAAATGTTCGAGGTTTTTCCTGCAGTTGAAAAAGCAAATGCGCCACTGGAATCAATGAAGTCGCCCCGGAGCGCCAATTAATATTTGTTCTCTAATAATTTCATGATTTGTATTACTTTCTTCTTTAATATATCGTTATATACTGATATTTAACAGGTTAAAAATTTTTTTTGCATTACAAGCGCGCATTACAAGCGTGCCATCCGTTTTTTACCGCTCAATTGAAACTTTAAATCTTGGTGCTACGGTTTTTGTACGTGAGAATAGCTGAAGGATCTTTTTTAACATTTTTAATATCTGAAATAGTTTTTGTGATATTTTTGTTTATTTGAATTCTTTATACCCGTAAAATCGTTTCGACAGAGTTATCTCTCGTTCTGAACATTCACATTCTTTGATCAATCCTACCAAAGTTTCTATCCAATTTTCAATATCATCAATCCCAAACTTTGGACTAATGAAAGTTAATAACTGATTTCTTGCAGCTGGTCTGAGAAGGTGTGGCTTGGGCGGAGCAATAGGTTTCGGAGCATCAGCCCTTTATGCTTTATGGAATTCAAGAGACAAGTTATCAAGTTTACAGCAATTCAACCCAGCGTAAGGCATTAAAATATTTGTAGGAGTATTTCAGTTAGTAATAAAATTGAACATCCCAAATTCGATTCCCACATTGAAATGTAACTTCAACAAAATATTGTGTAAAACATTAATGACTGTTTCTAGACAAACATTTATTGCAAATTCTTGAGGCTTTTCTGTCAGAAATGAGTAAATGGCATTATTTGTCTAACTCTGAAACACTTTTGGTCTTTATTTCATATTTTTTTGTAGTACTACTTTTTTTAGTCAGCTCAGAAAAAAAATGTTTTGAATGGGATTTTCTATTAGTTATCGATACGCCTCAATTTCAAAATGCCTTATTTACATACATTACTTGAATGAAAAGTACAAATTATGTACATGGTATGTCATTAGCTGATTTATTTTATGTAGCAAATATAAGCATATAATGATGGGAATGAAAAAATGTTGACTGCTTTTCACCACATGATTTCAACTTTTGTTCTCTTCAGTTTGTGTATATATTTTGTGCTGTGATCTATATATTTTTGTTATTAAACCATAGAAACCCAATGTGACACTGTTGTTTTTCAGTCAATAAATTTTTAAATAAAACTTCTTTTTTTACTAAATGCTGATTTTGAAATTCAAGAAATAAAGCAATAGTTGCAGTGGTTTGGTTTTAAGCTCCAAAACTTGACAATATTTCCACTACTCATTTGTAGTTTATTCCTTGAATTTTTATTACAGTTGAAATTTTATTGATTTTTCTTTCGACAGGCAAAGGTAGAGGGGTAGAAGTGGATAGCCACCATGTTGTTCCTGATTGCCTACTTATTAAGAAATTTACAATTTTTTATTGATTTTTGTCCAATAAAAATATACATCTTGGTTGAACGCCTTTTCTGTTCTTGTGTGGAAAATATTAAAAAAGGAAAAGGGATGTAGGGTATGTAGGGTAAGAATAACCCATAAAGTGGTTAAATTGTAATAAATTGAAAAAAAATAAGAGTTCAGAGACATATGAGGTCGTTGAAAAAATTAGGTGAATGTTTAAATTTCGCGGGATATGTACATTCTCGATTGAAAACTGCCCAGGCGAAACTCTGGCTTACAGAGACAGGCTTGTTTGGCCATCAGTACCACACCGTCAGCGGACATGGAGAACCTTCTACATCCTCTCCACATTTTTCTGGAGAGAGAGGCTAGATGGACTGCATATAGACTTGTGCACATTGCCAATTGCACAAATCAATTTAATGCAGAGTGCAACAGACTGTTGGGTGATACTGGAAGTCACAGTATTCTGGAAATGACCTCTGACTTTATGCCTCCAACTGTCAACTACGAACTGCCTTATAAAGTAGTGTTCCCTAGTAGGGAGGACTGGATCTCCGGGAGAAGGAAATATTAAGAGCAGATAGTTGTTAGTTCACAGATGGATCTAAAATACCTTCCGGTTTCGGTGTTTCAAATTGCAGAACCAGGACAGAGATATCAACGTGCCTAGGAACCTATGCGACTGTATTAAAAGCGAAAATTTACGCTATTGAATTGTGTGCCGAGAGATTGGAAGAATCCAACCTCATACACAAGTCAATAAAAATATTCTGTCAAGCGGCGTTGGAAGCTCTTGGCTCCTACGGAGCAACATCTAAATTGGTAGCAAATTGCCAAAATCGACTCTCCTCGATAGGAAAACCTAACAGATTGTCTCTGGCCTGGATTTTCGACCATACTGGCCTGGAAGGCAATGAGGCTGCTGACTCCCTTGCAAAGGAGGCTACTGCAAGTAGCTTTGTCGGATCAGAACTTGTCATTGGCATCGCTTTAGGCTTTGCCAAACAACGTTTGAATACCTGGGTGGCACAAAGTTTTATGGACTTCTGGCAGAATCTTCCAGGATCGGCTCACGCCAAGGCGTTTATTCACCCTTCGAAGCTTGATACCAAACAGTTGTTGGACTACAGTAGGGATGAACTATGACACTCATTTGAATCATCATATACAGAGACTCGGACTGTGGGAAGACAGTGTGTGTCACCTCTGGAAAATGATGAAACAGCAGAGCACATACTTTGTGTCTGCCCCGCTGAGGACCGAATCAGGTTTTTAAAGTTCGGCAGAGCCGTACTCTTACCATTTCATCTGAAAGACCACTCACCATAAAAACTAATCGGCTTTGTTAAGAAGCTGGGTTTATTTTGTCGAGTGTGAATAGGTGTGAGCCACAATAAACCCTGGCGGGTTGTGGCGGAGGGTCGAATAGACCCACTCACTTTGGACCTAACGTATTTTTTATGTTGTTACACTCGTCTCGAACATATATTCACAGTTTCAGCTGTGTTTCATGTTTAGTTTTGTGTAAAAAATAGAATGAATTGCTCAAAAAACACTTAAAATGTTGACAGTGGCATACAGTGATTGTACTTTGGAGTCAGAAAAATCTTAAATACAGAATAAAGAAAATAATTTTTGTCTGATTTCTACCAAGTTTTTTATTTATTAAGACCGGTTTTGGTTTGTTAAACCATTTCCTAATAGTTTACTTCAAGAACATGACAATTTTCGTTAACATCAACTACTCTGTTAGTAAAGTTTTCAGCTTGTTTTGAATTTTTTTGAATGAATTTGTAAATTATCGTTTTTTTCTCAATTTCCATTAACTACAGTTCACATAAAGAAATAATAACTTGTTCATTGGCAAATAAATTAAGAGAGAACGATGTAAACAATCAACAAAAAAAACCTTAGAACCATTTTGAAAATTCTTCCTGTTTGTTAGAACAGAATATATGACAATGATTTACACATTAAAAGTATGAAAAACAGAAAATGATGAAAATTGTATAAATATAAATGAAATATGGGATTACCAAAAAAATTGATGGATGTAGCCGTTACTATGTGGTAGGAAATCATAATGAAGAAAAGAAAATTGAAACTTTTTATGTTATATATCTTATGTTTTATGTTATATAAGGGCTAATGTAATAAACCATTGTTAGTTTAATGTATAGTTTGAAAATGTCCTCATAGGACGAAACTGCAGTGACGTTAGTTACAAATAAAAGTGGTAAAACACATAGAAAATTTCAAATCTCTTTTCTTCATCCAAAAAATTGTGTTTGAGAGCAACTTGTTGATTTTTCCTTCACATACTGGATTCTTCTTGAGTACTGTAGACGGTTCATATTCAAAAGGGAGACATTTGTTTTCTTGTGTTAGCCTTTGGCTTGACTTTCATTATATTAGTACTAACTTTTGTGTTCAACATGTTAAAATGGCATCATATTGTTTGCAAGTAGAGTGAGGTTGAATAAAACATCTAAACTGTTGGATGTCACACATTTCAAGTCGATAGGGACCCAGAATTGATCCTTGGAGAACACCTGCCATTTCGTTCATTAACTTTTACGTATACATTTTACAAAGTGTTTCCAACTTTTAAGAGATATGACCTGATCTCATTAGGGTCTGGGCAGGTTTTATAATATTGTATCTTGTGCCATCTGAAGACAATCTTGAATTACTGATTCTTTTTACAGGCCAAATTGCTCTCCACTGAGAATATAACTGATAGAAAGCCATTATTGGAATATTTACCAATATTTTAATTATATTTGGTAAAGGTGATGACAAAGATACGGCTAAAATCCTCAATAAAACCATCTTAGAAGAGTTTTAGAAATTAGACCAGTCGAAAATCATCTTCAGCTCCCAAGAAACTTAATTTGTTTTTTACACTGATCGATGTAAACAGTTAGAGCTTAAATAAAAAAGCAGAATACCATTTCCAATTGTGATAATAGAGAACGCTAGTGTTCACGTCTGTTTCAACGTAGTAGAAGAAATAGAGACTACATGCGTTTCACCAAGCACGGTGGCACCTTCAGTTGATGAAGACACCAACTTGGTTGATGAATAGAGCATCAAAAAGGGTGTTGCATTTCTGGTAAATTGGAAAAGTACTTGTTTTGAATTCAAATATCGACTATACCAGCCAAACTGAGTATTTGGTCTTGAGAATATTACATTGTTTGATTCTGCACTGTTTGGAGAATGAAATTTCATACTTCCCTCAACACATAACTATTCTTTCTCAGACTTTCAGTATGTATGGGTGTAAGTTGACTTGTAGTACAGTTTGAGGCCAGATATTTTGATGGCAGCATAGGATTCAACCTAAAATATAAAACTGCCATATTTTTCGAAACGGATTTTATCACGGCTGCTTTTTCCTTGATATAGTTGAATGGATGAGTTATGAGAGATTGGTTGGGGGAAATTATAAATGATGGAAAGTAAGAACAAAATTAACCGTGCAAAACCCTCACTCTAACATTCAACACTGAAATGCAAAGGGAAGAGCTAAATTGAAACAAAATAACAGATGTTCACTCAGAATAACAACCATTCAACTTCATTTGAATGAAAAAATCACCTTCTACCACAATTTTTTTTAATTACTCAGATTTTAATATCACTAGATTTATAAGTTGTTTGTCTTCGCTAATATTAACAGGCACAAACTTGTGTATCACTCTTGCCGAATATTAACTTTACTTCTTATGGACTTCTGGGATGGTACTACAGATGATCTTGACTTTATATTTCTTGATCTCTTGATATCTTTCAGCAGATTGAAAATGGTATCAGGATCTATTCCCATATTTAGAAGTTCAATGAGAAGCCTGAAAAAATTTTGGAAAATTTGCTCTTGAATTATTTGAAAGGTTTCCACATTTGCTTGTATAACTATAGATGGGGAAGTAGAAAGCCAAAACCTTTTCTTCTCAGAAATTAATCTCTCCTGAAAATATACCCCTTTCAATTTAAATTTTAGTAAACTTATGAATTGCAAAAAAAATAATTTCCATGTCAATGATAACTACTCACATTTTTTTCATTACAATTTCTTCCACCATATTAGTGGTGGAAATCGATCCCTCAGTTCTTATGATGTACCCATCATAAGTTTTTAATTGTAACAAATGTTGGAGAACAAGTTATGATTGGTGCATGATATTGTTTCCTCTTTTTCGAAACGAGGATTGAAAATATGTTTTTCTTTACTGTCTTGATGACAGAAATAGTTACAATCCAATTTCAGGGAGATCCAATTTGTTGACATAAAGTCCATGTTTATAATTTTTAAATAATTGTTACTGTGATTCAAACAGTAATCTGACTTGACATGATCAGTGAATGCATTCATTGAAAATTTCCAAATATTCACTCATATCCAATTTAGGTTAACTGCAAGATGTATAAAAAAGTCTAAATCTTGTTCAATTGTATTTGAAAAAAATTGAGAACGGTCTTTCACTTCAATCACAATGGCTATGTACTTTTTGCAAGATATTGCTTGAATACCTGAAAACACTTCCATCCATGAAAACTCCAGCTAATTCGCCCAATTGTTGGAGCTCAGCTTGGTGAGGTCTCAAACTCGTCAAATTTTCAATCCTTTGTGAAGCCATTTCTAAGAATTAAGAATCATTCATTCTATTTCTATTAAAATCCGAATTTGTTTGGTTTTTGGTGTTCGAACCAGTTCGAACACAAAACTTTAAAAGCATAAACAATGAATACCTATTTTTGATTGTTTTGCCGTAGAACGTGGTAGAACACAGAACACCTAGGCTGAATTCGAGTTGTCGCTCGATAGAGCGAGCCGTGCTCCTTATGTCAGTGACATAGTGTTAGATCTTGACCAAAGTTTCTTAAAATACCCTGTCAACAGGTGGAATGATCTTTGATGAAATTGGCTGGGTGCGGCTAAGAACTTCATTTGAAGGTGCAATTAGGTTCATGAAATACTATATAAATGACGTAGGAAGAGCTGCCCGTTCGAATGTCTGTCAACTAAATAGCTGCATGACAAAGCAGTTCCATTTAATAATTTTGATAACCTTCATTTTGATTAAGTCTATACCATCCGTTTTTATAAAAATCGAAGTTATCAAACTGGTTTAATAATGTCCGATGAAAATGTATTCACACAGGGATTAACGTTGGCTTCACTAAAATCAATTGTTAGAAATTCTGCTTTTCAGGATGTAATGAGTGTAGACCGCATTTTTACGGCATTATTTCTAACAAACGATGCTTCTAAAAGCGGCATCAAAGTCTGTGTAAAGAGGATTAGCGTTATAAATCAGGAATTATTGTCCTATGAACATCTATATACTTTGAAGGGAGTGATGATTTAGTGTCAAAAAGTGTTTTTTTGATGCTGACTAATTAGTGATCACAAAGTATTGCTGCTACCATGAAAGATGCATTTTCTCCAAGTTTTGTATTTTATTGGAAAAAATACATCAATTTTGTGACACCGCATAAACTAAGTCAAGATTATGGACAGATATCCAAATATTCTGACAAACTTTCCTCGACTTACTGATAGGTGATTTTTTTTAAATTACAGCATTATATTTAAATTCAACTTACAAATTTTCATTTAGGAGGAAATGACGTATCTCAAATATTTTCCATTATTTTTAAATACTGCAACACGCACCTATACCTGCTAGCATATAGCATAGAAAACGGAAACCTTGTCAGCTGATGCATATAAATAGGAGATACATGCTCCCGCCTATTTTAGCTGACGGTCTTTTGGCCGTCACCCAGGCAGCTAACAAATAGATACATAGAAGCTATCTTGAAGTAAATTTATAGGTGAGATAAAATCGTTGATAGTATTGTTGACAGTACTCGCTTGGCTTAATAATGAGAGGATTTTATTCGCTATTTCACCCATTCATCATTCATCCAAATAATGAAAGAACTCATTTGAAATTTTAATTACATTTTTATTGTAACGAAACGGGGAAAATACTTCAGGAATAAACTTACACTAAAATGTTAATCGAAAATACAATGAGTCACCAAACACTTACGTTATACTACCACCCAGCAGGATCGAAGAAAAGGAGATGTGCTGCGATGCTGGAACCTTTTCTGAAGATCAATAGATACTGAATGAATTTCTCAATACTGTCTGTTGATGATCTTCACCTCCCTCAATATTTATGAAGATTTATACGCTGTCATTTAAACGTTGATATATTTCTATATTCTGTGATCGTATCAATTTTGATGTCTATGAACTTGGAATATTAAAAGATGGAATTCAGAATACTGAGTGTTTTTGTTTTAGAATATTGAAGTTGAGGTTGGAACATCATGTATTCGCTTAAATGAATTTGAATTATTTCATGATTATTTTCCATTGTTGACAGTATACAGTTTTTTTCATGTTTCAGCGACCAGCTGACATAAAATCCACCATGTTATAGTCAGCTGATTATTTTTTCTTCGAGGTATTGGGTAAGTTACAATTTACCGAATTTTCAGTTAAGAGGAAATCGTTGAATATATTTTTACATGCGTGGGAGGCTACCACCGCGCATCTACCCCACCGAGCCGTAGCTTTAAGGTACTATTCTATGATGTGTCTCAACCACTGCCGCTTGAGAGGAACTTGGTCATGTTAATTTCTCACTGGCTGCTGGACTATAGATAGGCTGACTCTTATAAATTCCAGATATTGGATGTTAGAACTTCGATTGTTATAGAAACAGGTGTTGTATGCTTTTATATTGATGATTTGGATAATATTGAGTTTCAGTCAACTTTCTATATTACTTATTTATTTTCATTACTGTAAAATAATTAATTTCTTGTGTACAGTTTGGTAATAAAAACGGTATTACTCAAAAGATTAACGTATGGGCATAACTAACATGGTTTCCAGGGTATTAATTTGTCCCGTTCGGACCCTTTCTTCGAGCTTCTTCCACTTTCAGACTCTGTTTGAGAAAGTGTTCTTGGTCTAAAAGAAGTACTCGGACGTCTCGATGCAGTAGCTACTTGCCTACTTGGTACGCCGGATACAGTCTTTCTTGCTGATGGTTTGGGTTGGAGTACGTCTTCTTTCGTTTCCGAAGGCGATTGCTCACGCTTATCTTTACTTTTCTTACCAAAACTGAAACTTAAGAATTTTCGTTTTTCTTTTTTTTCCGGGTACTTCCCACAAATAATTTCTTTGACATCTTTCACTTGTGCTGCTAGGTCTTTTTGATTTTTGTGAATGACTGAGTGGAGACCCCTCACATCACTGGCAGTGAAGTAAAATCTACGAGTGAGAGTTGATATAAGAATTGGACGAGGGTTCTCCAATGTTATGCAAGTTACAAGACTCATAATATCTTCGGTTTCTCCGTATTGTTCAATCATTTCGCAAAGCAACTGTATAAATTCGTCATTGGAATCTGGAATGAAAAAAATATTCACAACATCTTGACAGAGCATCAACTGAATACGAAAAAAAGGAGGAATCTTCCGAAGGAAGGAGGAAAGTATAGTCGAGGTAAACGATATTGTGTACACTTAAAGTTGGCGGTACTCTCAAAGGCCAAAAAAACCAATACAGGGAAATGAACCGGCTGCGAACTAGTTCACGTGGACTGTAGAATATGCGGTTCGTATTGGATAATTTTCACACTAATTAAGTTTAATGATTGCCTGAAGAGTCATAAAACTGAATTTGAATCATGTTACGGTGACGAATAGAAATCAAGGAATGCGGAGATGGTTATCGCCGTCGTGTCATCAATGTTCAGTTCAGAAACTGATTGCGATTTGAGTGTTGAAATTCGATATTGGTGCAGTTATAAATACTCGACATTTGTGTTATTTGTTCAAAATGTGGCGTTCTTGGACGGGTACTAATAGTGATAGCGAGTGTGATAAAAACGCGGACTTTTCCATCAGTGTAGTGATTCCAATAGCGATGGCGAACAATGCGAAAAAGAGATACTAGTGAAAAAGATTCGAATGCATTTGAATATTGAAACACAGAGAGTATGTTTCAATGTATATAAGAATCTTCATCTCAAGTTTGGTTTCGAGGGAAACAAACTATTACAAGCAACATAGAATTTGACTGAAATTCTTTCCTCAACTGTACGAAAATTAGTCAAAAACAAACGTTATGTACGCAAGATGCAATGTGATACAGGATTACCAAAACCTTTAGATGACTATAACAAAAGCAATGAGATTCCTACAACTGAAATCAAGAAATTGAATACTTCCGACCATAACCATAACGTGAGCTGCTATGACAAAACTCTTCTGAATTGAATAAGAAACTAGGATTTAGATTTAAAATAATAAACAAACGTCAAGCAGTTAGGGAAAGCAGAAGAATAGTGTAATGGCGTAATAAATACTTAGAACAAATAACTAAATATAGACAAGAACAACGGCAAATTTTTTCTTGGAACGAATCTTGGTATGACAATCACGAGAGTTACGAAAAGGTGGACTGATGGTTCGAGAATGTGTACGCCTAACATGCCTGCAAATAAAGGATCGCGACTTATCATTGTGCATTGCGGAGAAAGTATCTCCGCAATGTATCTATTACTTTCTCCACATTGCGGAGAAAGGAAAGGATGGATTCCGAATTCTTTGAAATGAGGTGGAAAAAAACTTGAGGACTGCAATGTTGACTATCATAAGAACATGGAAGCTAATATTTTCAAGGAATGGTTTGAAAACACATTGATCCCAAATTTGGATGCAAATAGTGTAATAGTTCTTGACAACGCTTCCTATCATTCGCAATAGCTCATTAAAGTACCGAATAAAAATTCGAGGAAAGGTGAAATATAAAGTTTTTTAATGAATACCAATTTATATTTTGAAGATTACTATACCAAAAACCAACTACTTGGAGTTTTACAGACAAAAACATTTGCAAAGGTGTATGCCCTTGAGAGTATTGCTGAAAAGTATGGACACACCATACTGAGACTCCCCCCTATTCTTGTGTTTTCAAGCCCATCGAGTTGATTTGAGGAAAATTGAAACAAAGCATCAGGCGTAAAAATAATTTTCCAAAATTTGATAAGAAGGTAATAGAGCTAATCAAGGAAGGAGTATCTAATATTAATGAAGACTGGCAGAAAAGGATTAAAAAATAATTTTATTTGGAAAAGACCATATGGAGATTGGACAATTCAATATTCATGGTGGAATTAAATTCATTGTTGATTTAAATGAAGACAGTGATAGTGAAATAGAGAATATGGAAGAGGAATTATCAAAAGCTTTCGAAGAAAGTTAGTGAAGTGTTTTTTAAGCGATCGATTGTATACATATGTGAGTAAGAAGTATTCAGAAGTATTTTCAATTATCANAATGCTAAAAAAATGTAAATCAGAACGTTTTGAACAAAAAAATTTTGTTGCCGATATTGGTAATTAGTAATAATAAAATTGGAACATCAGAAAAAAATCGGAGCTACAAACAATTAATATTATAGTAAAACTGTTACATATACTCAAGCACTGTTTCAACATCCTGAAGGTTCTCTGAGAGCGGTGCTTGCGCAAAAATGAAGGGAATTAACAGTGACTTTCAATAGATGTAGAGCAAGATTGAACTGATTGTTTTTCTAATTGTATTCTCATTTCATTTCGGTAATAATGGAATTGTTGAATTCCTTACCTCAAAAATGAAAATTTTTGGTTTATTTTTCAGCGATTTGCAATTATGGGAATTGAATTTTTTCCAGATCTCTTGAATAGCCACTGTTCTTTTTTGCTTTCCATCAAACATTTCTAGACATCCGTCCTTCATACAATAGCCAGAAAATAGAATAACTAATCCACTTCGGGTGTCCGATTGTTCACAAACTGAAAAAGAAACTGGAATTTGAAAAGATAATGTTCTTGTTATAATAATTTGTTATAATAATAGGATGATAATATTTTTTCTGCGAGAGAGTAGCATTTTTCCAACCTAGCACGGAATGTACAGAGTGGCTAAAATTGGACACTTTTGAAGGAAAACCCCTGTTTTGAAACTAGATAGATGAAAACTGATGGCTTATGGATCAAATTTTACGACAAACTTAATGGTGAAAACCGCATATAGATATCGTTTCTGAGTTACAATACCTATGTTTGTCAAAAATGTGCATTTTCGAAATATTGCTGTAACTTTTTTCATGCCAGAAATTTCTTGTTTCTTCGAAAACATTTCCGAAGCACTTTTTTAAGTAGAATTCAATGATGTGAAAAATCTATTTCTTCATATGGGATATCAATAGTTATTGATTTTTTTTATCAAGACACCCTGTATATTCCTGCATATTTTGAAACCGCTCAAAATTACCTTTCCAAAAATGTAGTACACTTGATGTTTTCCTAGAGGTCAAGTAGGGTTTGGACGACGCGGCGATAAAACCAAAATAAATTGTTCAGTAGTAGCTATCAAACTGCATTTCATCAGTTCGGACTTTTATTGTCTAATATGATATAAATCAGGAATAGTAGAGCATGTTTGCACTCATTAACGTAACATCGAGTGGGCTCAAGCTGAAATCATCCACAAGGGTGAACACTGGTTTAGGAGAAAATTCAAAGAAGCTGCATAAATGTTGTCCAACAACGCATTTAGCCAAGCTAGTGTAGAGATACGCAACATATGAAAACCTCTAATCAAGTGGAACACGACCAACTCCCGCCAAACAGTCTGCTCCCGCTAAAACTGATGAAGCGGAGAGTGGAAAGAGGGGATAGGTGAAAGCACTCGAATGACCTATAAAAAGTCAGATCTCAGAGGAATAGGTCCACCGTTAGTTATGGAAGCTATGGATTATGCTGCAGACGACCCTTCCAGAAGGCCCCGACCTTCTGTCGAATGAGGCCCGTATGTCCTCCGTCAAAAAATGAACATGAATATTTTAATCCATCTCACCCCAGAAAGGTAGGGGTACACCGTGAAGGGCGGCACTGATGTTCTGAGAACATTCATGTCGCCATCTTACCATCAGTTATGACCCATTTGTCCCTCTGACAAACATCAGTTGAAAGGGTAAGGGAGCCAGGCTCCAACCTGAACGAAATGAAGACACTTGGTCGATCGAATAGGTCCAGTTATCACCCGAAGACGATTGTGGATACTAGCAATCGAAACGTCGTGAAGTAACTTGGCTTCGTCTGTCCAAATAAAATTTAACGAAAAATCACGCACTTGGTTACAACCTTCCAGGAACCACTAGCAAAAAGCCATGCGGCGTTCAAAATCTCCTGGTCCGAGTTCAAAATCCTCCTAACCTAACGACTATTTTTTCCAATTCCATTTAATTTTGGTCTTTTCTTTTCGAATTGACCGCCATCAATTAGGTTGTGTCGCGATCTTGCGAAAATGTCTCTAAAAGGTTGTCTATTCTTTGGAAACCTCTCGTGTTACAAATTGCTTTTCCCGGTTTGTATGAAACAGACTATCGTATACTATTTTCCATCATTCTCGTACTTCATTGCGAAAATGTTTGAGATTTGGAGAAAAACCACGAATTGAAGAGTGTCTTTGCTGCTTAAATCAAAATATGACAGATACCAGTGAAGAATTGCATTCTGTTTTATCGCCGTATCGTCAAAAACCTACTTGATCAAAGTGTGTGTTTCAAAGTTTTCACGAAAAAACCTAGAAGCTCTGTATTTCAAAGATGACTCTAGCAAAACATCAAGTGTGCTGCATTTTTGGGAAGTTGATTCGAACTCAATTGAAATTTGCAGGTATATATAGGGTTTCTCATTGAAAAATAGAGTTTTCCAGATCTGCTAAAAATTAGTACTATTGTTCCAATTCCTAAGGTAAATAAAACTGCCAGAGCTGAGGAATTTAGGCATATTAATACGTTGTCGCCCATTGAGAAAGTACTTGAGTATGCTGTTTACAATCAATTGCTAAACTTTGTGAATGATTCTGTTTGATAATCAGTCAGCACTACATATTTCATTTGGTTAGTTCCTTCTTTTTATATGCCACGTACCCCGTCACCCTTAATTCGTTCACAAGTTCAGTAATGTATTTCCAGCTAACATGCTTATCCAGATTCAAGTCATTAATATTATATTAGCGTACATTCGAGGCCTATTCAAAAAATGAGGTGGATTTTAAAATTTTGAGGGCAACGTACATTCGATTAGTGATATAAAAAATATTTCATTATTAATATTAAATCCTCGATTTTGTCGATTATCTGTCGTTTTAATTGAAATCAAATTTGGTTGAGGCTTTCCCCGAGTTTTACTAATGTAAAATTTATTATCATAAGATAAAGACTTAAAATTATTTGTCAGCAACGAATCGACTATATCGTCAGATATTTTAATTTCGTTCAATATATCCATAATACATGGAAAACAAACTTACCGGAAAGTGAAAACCTGAAAATAACATGAAATTGAAAGAAAACACTCAAAAGACACATTAAAAATATTACCAAAAAGCACTGCTATAATACAATACTGTCTGTTTTATACACAGACAACAAATGTTATCAAGAAACACTAAAACGATTTACTGAAATATTTTTCAGACCCGGTCCGTCAGTAAAAAACGAACGCAGTCGTACACTAACGGAGACCAACTGGAGGCTAGCCTCCTCTAACGCTATAATTTCTGCAACTAAAATTAGAAATCGGGACGTATGTCGCTGGTTGAATCGATCTCGTGGAGCTTGTGTTTTTTAAAACGGTCGGAGGCTAGGCTCCCTTGCAACGTATGGCATTTATTATTTCGGGTTGACGGTTTATTCGTTATTCGTTTATGGGCGGTGCGTTTGAGGTTTGTTGAGGCAGGATACAGTATGGTATGTATTACGTACTGAGTGATAGAGTTTTTTCGGGCATATTATGTATTTATATTAACAATTAATGGTAAAGTAATAATACCCAAACATTTTTAGAAAAAAATAATCATAATTGATTGTCTTTTAATTTATTGCGATGAATAGCATCAAATTTTATGGGAAGGCTAAACCTCCGTTGCTTCCTCTGACGAGCCGCCGCTGAAGAATACTAAGCAAAGAAAACTGAAATAATAATGAAATAAAATACAATTAACAATCAAAAATTGAAATGTCAACACGAATTTGAAATTTAAAATTATTAACAACAAATGAAAATCAATAGATTCCAAGCCAAGTTACTTCACTACGTTTCGATTGTTAGTATCCACCATCGTCTTCAGGTGCTCAAGAACACTTGAGACGTTGACAGTGGCATATGGTAATTTTACTCTGAGTCAGAAAAAATTTTACAAGTGGTACAAGCTTTTCATAGAAGGTCGCGAAGCTGTAAATGAAGACGTTCACCCTGGAAACCCATCACAATAACAACCGATGAAAATCTTGAGAAAGTGAAGAAACTTGTTATGTAGAATCATCGAATCACTATTAGAGAAGTTGCTGAGAATATCGGCATATCGGTCAGCTCATGCCACGGAATCTTTTCGGAAATTTTGGGCATGAAGCATGTGGCAGCAAAGTTCGTACCAAAATCACAGGAATTGTTGAATGACGTCAATGGCGATCAATATTTGTTTGGAAGTGTCATAACTGCTGACGAATCATGGGTAAATGGAACCCAAACTCATGGCCTTTGCATCACGATAATGCACCTGCTCGCTCTTCATTATTTGTTTGTAATTTCTTGTCCAAAAACAACACCGTAATCATGCCTCAACAACCGTATTCACCAAATTTGCTCCCCTACGACTTTTTTCTGGTTCCAAGATTGAAGAGACCAATGAAAGGACAGCGTTTTGCGACCATTGAGGAGATAAAAACAGAATCGCTAAGAAAGCTGAATGAATGAATATTTTTTGAGAAATATGAAAATTCATTTAATTTTTTTTAACAGACCTCCAATAAAGTCAAATTATCGATATGCAGTGAATGTACTAAGTTGTGAAAGTTACATATAAGTAGTCGAAATATTGTATAATACTGTAGAGAGATGAATGAAATATGGATTATTCATTACATTTGTCCTGAAGATGAAAAGAAAACTTTTGTTTTCCGTAAAAGAAGCAATAAGCGCTGAAAAAAGATACTAATGACCTTTGAACGAAGGATAGCCCCTAATCTAATCCTTTTCAAGATTTGAAGATTGCATGTCGAGGGGTTGGTTTAATATGACCCAAGACACTTTCTAACTTTATTTCGAAATAAATTCTTTCCTCTGAAAGCGCATCCTATTTGGTAGCCCCTCAAATTTCAGAATATTAGTTATCAGTTTTCTCCTTTTACAAGGCCTCACAATATTTTTTGAATGACATTAATATAAATTAATGAGAAGTACTTCAGTGTTAAAGTAAAGTAATAATAATAATCTGAATTACGGAGAAGAGGTTCAGCTCAATTATAAGTAACGACACACAATTGATTTGCTGCTTCCTTTATATATTTCCATATCAGTGTCAATATCTATAAAACATACTTACTTTTATCCAAGATGACATTACAGTTATCCGTTTCTAAGTTATGTTTATATTCTGGTTTGATTTCCATACCACATTTCAGTAAAGTTTTCGAAAACACTTCAACATCATGTTCACTGCACTCCCAATCGCTTGCAAATGTGTGAACTTCAATATTTTCTACAGATTTCTGGAAATGTTCATATTCGTCAGGTGTTAGTTCTGTAGAAGGTTTCACTTCGATATCTTCTTCTATAAACGACTGTCGACTAACTTTTTTATTATTCATGTTGATCACTCATTATGCTACCAACATAATATAACAATCTGCTGAATGCATTTCCAATTATTAGTGGCTATGACTTCTCCAGATAAGATAAATTCATCGATTATTGCCAAATAGAAAAAAATTGATTCAATCCTTATCTTACCCAGAAAATATCAAGTGATCATATTGATGATTCACACGTATTTGATGAACAAAAGTTTCTTTGTTGAACCATGAAATATACGTCACTTATCAATGAAAGCTAACGAAATAGAGCTGATCTCAATAGTTGGGTTCACTGCAGCATTTTTATTTGGATGATGTCTACTGCATGAATCTAGAAAACCGAAGTAGAAGACTCAGTTTTTTTCAATACATTTTTACCCTCATAATCTCAACAGTATTGCCTCGTATATGTGATGAGGATTTGAACATAAATAGAATGGCTATATGATCGATATTACAAATCATGGTGGGTGAGCTTTCGCGGCAGGTGTCTAACGAATTGTCCGATGTTAGCCGTGTTCTGCAGGTTTTTTTTGTCCGACGTTTCGTCTGCTACTGTGGTAGAATTCATCAGAGGTGATGAAACAACGGTCGAAGTGCTCTACCACAGTAGAATACAGTGACGGTTCGTGCATTGGAGAACAGGGGAGGCTAAAGTCATAAAGATTATATACACACAGAAAAGCCCGCACGGAGGCGCAAAAATTTTTTGGGGTACCGCACCTATAAGCAAAATACGTAATATTTGCATAAATGCAAACAAAAATCGTGTATTGCCGAAAATTATACGTATAAAACTGACCATAAAAAAAAGAAAAAAGGGTTGCCTTTGAGTTATATAATATTAATGAACTCTTCTCAGTCAATAAATAATACTTTTCTCTTTTTTTATCGACCTTTTTTGGGTAATTGTTACCTTCCACAATCTGAAAAAATATAAAAATTATAATGGAGAACTTTATACAAGTGTAAAAGGGCAAACTTTNGCCAGTTTTATACACAAATAACAAATGTTATCAAGAAACACTAAAACGATTTACCGAAATATTTTTCAGCCCCGGTCCGTCAGTAAAAAACGAACGCAGTCGTACACTAACGGAGACCAACTGGAGGCTAGCCTCCTCTAACGCTACAATTTCTGCAGCTGAAATTACAAATCGGGATGTATGTCGCTGGTTGGATCGGTCTCGCGAAGCTTGTGTTTTTCAAAACGGTCGAAGGCTTGGCTCCCTTGCAACGTATGGCATTTAATATTTCGGGTTGATGGTTTATTCGTTATTCGTTTATGGGCGCTGCGTTTGAGGTTTGTTGATCTAGGATACAGTGTGGTACGTATGATTTTTTGTACAACTGTCATTAAAAGTGACATTTTTAATGGTTGTCAAGAGTATTGAAAGATGATGTTTACAAAGTAGCGTGTTGAAAATATTTTTAATACAGTATTGAATGTATTTTTAACCAACTAACAATAAATAAAACATAATAAGTGAAGTGAAGAGGAAGATACTGTAACGCTGGAGCTAGCTGTTGGGATTATTCTTTCAGCAATAGCCTTTTTATAAGTAATATCCTTGTATATAGACTATATATACAATGGTAATATATTTATCGACATGACCCTCAGCTACTGTTGTAGACTTCCATCCTCCGTGCTTCTTAATATCCGTTATATTTGCTCCCGATTCTGCTAGCAAATAAGCAGAAGACCTTCTGAAACAGTGAACTTTATATTTCTTCAGTTCCGGGAGGTTCGAAAACTCAATGGTAAAGAGCATTTTCCCAAACGTGTTTATACCAATTGGGTTGGCACTACATTTATAATTTGAGTATTTCAGAAAAAAACGTTGATGGTTGATAACAGAAGGGCGTAATGCAGCGTATTTACTAAAATAGTCGATGTTTTTTCCCAACAATGCAAAAGGAACGACCTATTTTCATTTTTGTATTTGGAATTTTAACAAGCAACTATTCATCTATTAATTTAATGTCTTCATTATGAAAGCCTAAGATGTGTATAAAACAGGTAAATCGGACACACTCTATGTACAACTAATCTTATCTCTGCTCCACGATATATTGTTAGAATAGGAATATGATCCTTCAAAAGATAACTTTAAGAAGACAGGCATCAAGTTGCCTAACTGAATGGAGAAATCATATTGAACAAAATGTAAAAAAAATATTGAGAGAAATGTAAAAATGTATTTCCAATTACCTGAATTGAATTGAGTGAATTGAATTGGATTGAATTGAATATTAATAAATGGCACAGCTCTTCACGCATGCAGGCTCCATATCTTCTGAAAATAGCACCAACTTTTATCATCAAATATTTTTCAGCTGGTGCCTCATTCATGAACCTCTGGACTTGTTCAAACGTAAGAGTTTTTGATTTTTTGGGCCTATAACTTTCATTTTTCCGCTTTAAGAATGATATTTCTTTGAAATATTTTCTTGTATTAACACCATTTTTAACAGCGCACTCAACTTTATTATTGAAAACTTGCTTCACGAAATTGAGTTTCTTAACCTTCTAGAAAGGTTAAGAAGACGGTTTCGCTGAAATTTCCTTCGACGTTTTTAAGTCTACACCAGCTGAGAAAATTAGATTTTGCGATGTCGTACTGCTGAGCCGATTTTTTTGGTAACAATTCAATGGAAGCTCTTTTTGCAGCCTGAAACTTTGTATGATATTTTTGTTGAGAGTAAGTTTTATTTTGTTCGTGAAATAACATTCACAAAATGAAACCTTACTTCTCATATCATAAATAGCTATTCTGCTGTTTCATTCTTGGACGATTCAGTATTTTTGAAGTTTCATTTCAAAGTTCTTAATGAATTTGAATTGGTATTCCAAACTTTAGTTGATTATGCTGCCAATGACCTTGACATGATTCAAAACTCTTTCGTTACAATAAGGATGTGTGAATGAATCTTCGGCTTCTCAGAGAAAGACAATTCGAGAAAATATTTGGAGCAAATATTAAATGAAACAAATACACATAGCTTAATATTTATTGAAACAAAACAATGATTCATTTTTTCTTCTTCTTGTCCTCATCTTTCAATAATAATTTAATCACATGTTCTTTCAACTCTTTCACTTCTTTTAGAATGTCTTCGTTGGTTTCTACCATCTTCAGTAATAGAGCTCTGTCTTTATTTCTGTTCAGATAAAATTTTTTAGTGAGGGTTGACACAAACATAGGCATTTGTTTCAGGTACTCGCCACTTCTAGAATGAAAGTAATAATTCCCGCAAACACATTTTGTAGTCCTTACGATCAAACTGATAACGTCGTCACGTTTTCCATATGACAGGAAGTTTTTGCAGAGTTCTTGTACAAACCATGACCCCGTTAAAGGATTTCTGAATCCAACGTTTCCTGCAACATAATTTATCTGCAATGGTAGAAGCATGAGGCTAGAGTTTTTAGCATAAAAATGTACCTATGATTTTTATGAATTTTATATCTGTATGAAAGTTCATGCAAAACACAAAAATTCAATTGTTGCAAGTGCGCACGGCTACTATGCGTACTTGCAACAACAGCTCTAGAAATATCAGTCATCAATTACACAATCGAAATTTTTAAAACGAGTAATGCTTCTGGAAAAATAGATGATAGTGATTAGTATCTAAGAAGTAAGTGGACCCCACCAAAAGTCGGTGAAGTAGCAAATGCAGCTTCAATAAATATTACCTACAAGGGGGGCCCAAAAGTACCCAGCCTGACCTAGAGATGACAGTAGTTGTTTGAAAAATATCAGTGTATTAGAAAGTACACAAACTTTTAGTAATGCAGACGTATGGTCAGTTTTAACCAGTTGGTTTCGTCCTGTCAAATATGATTCCATCCACTTCAGGACAATGTCTCTTATACCATAGTGAGAGAGTTACTGCAGAAACTCTCTCACTATGGTATAAGAAACGTGGCCCCGAAGCGGATGGAATCATGTTTGACAGGACGAAACCAAATGGTTCAAACTTACCATACATCCGGATTACTAAAAGTTAATTAGGGAGTACCCTAAGGATCAGTTTTAGGCCCATATATATTTCTTCTGTATATAAATGATCTTCCCTTCCCTGGCCCCTTCACTTTATTTGCTGACGACACTACCATTCTATGGCAAAAAAAAACTCCTTGAGAGTGTATTTTTCTGCAAAAGTGAAGGGGGCGGTATTTGTGCCAAATAAATAGGTTGAGTTCCTGCAAACCTCTTTTCCTGAAACACGGAATACTGACACTATCTTCAATCTACGTTTCAGAAGCTAGAAGCTGCATGTCTCATTTACAAGAATAAATCTTTATATGGAAATAACAATCGCACTGCGCGGTATGCAATGAATTTATCATTAATCATCCCTAAATCCACACTGATAAAAGACTCAATAATGTACGTCGGTGTTAAAATGTATAATAAACTTCCTGAAGATATGAAGAACATGGATTCTCTTGAAACTTTTGGAAAAAATTTACATGAAAGACTGGCATCTAAAACCTATTACAATCTGACATAATATTTTAATGACGAAACGATATTTAGTGTCTCCCAAATAAAATATTTTTTTGTTTTTGCATGCAAAAAGGCAAACTGCCTAAAAATTGAATGTATGAAATAATAGAAAAAGTAGAATATAAATTTAATTACTAAAATATAGAATGAGAGAGAGGACAAGTAAGTAAGAACTGAATTGAAATGGCCCCCAACTAGCTGAATATACTGAAACTGGTATAATAATGGAAAGAATCAAATGTTCTATAGTTTCGGCTTCTAATATGTGTAAATTCATTTTAATTTCGTGTGTAGGGTGAAAATGATGATTCACAATCTACACTTAACACCTGAATTCCATGCTAGAAACTGTTTCGAAACACTGTGTCATCTTCTGAGCTAGTTGTAACTAACCTAGGTATAAGATGTAACCTCCTTAAATACTGAAAGTTGGTGTTGACATTGGTAGGTAGATGAAGGTATCAAGGGGCATTTGGAAAATTACTAATAATATTATTGTTAATTGAACAATTATAAATATCTATCTGATCATTCGGAATAATGTTGTTTTATTGGCAAGATGTTTTTTTTTAATTGAATAGATTCAAGTGTATTCAATTCCAGACTTTTTGGTTGAATGCGTAGAATTTCCGGATTTTGTGTGCAATTGTGTGTATAACTTCTCAAATGTTCCTCAAATCTCTGGTTGAAACTACGGCCAGTCTGGCCTATATAGAAGACTTTGCAGTTTTTGTACGTGAACGTATAGGTACCAGATTTTTTGAATTTGTCCCATGAATGGAAACAAATTGTTATTTGTCTTGAATGCTACATTTATGCTTTGTTCCTGAAGGAAAACTAGATATTTTGTTTGTAGAATAGCTGAGATGGTCAAAAAGATGGTCATTATTAATAAATTGATGGATGTAGCCGATACTACGTGGTAGGAAATCCTAATGAATAAAAGAAAAATGAAACTTTCTGTTTTTTACCATTTTTATTTGTTACTGCAGTTTCGTCCTATACGGATGTGAGTTTATTGTACAAGTTTGAAAATGTCCGTATAGGACGAAACTGCAGTTACGTTGGTTACAAATAAAAGTGGTAGAAAACATAGAAAGTTTCATTTTTCTTTTTTTTATTAAGGTTATTATTGTTTTTTGATTTGAGGGTGGAATAAATTCAGAGTTTTACGGTTTTGTTTTAGTACTTTGTCACCGTTAGATGTTTTACATACATTATTGACGGCAATCTGATTGATATTGTTCAATTCTTTTTGGAAATTTGACTAGTTTTGTGTGATATTCATAAGTCTCTAAGATTTCTACAAATGTATTAAATTTTGCAATATCCATCACTACGCTGATGACACTCAAATTTACTTATCTTTTCCGGAAGGCAACCTGGAAGCACAAGAACTGATAAATAGAGATCTCAATTCACTGTATAACGTCTCGTGCGCACATAACTTGAAATTGAATTCTTCATACCTAATGAATTATGCCAAACTTTATCCTGAAATTGGCATTATCCAATATGTTGCTAGATGCAAATATCATTTGACTTTTTTTCTAACCTAGACATTGTTACAGAAATATGACGAAACATCCTTTTAGGTGCACAAAACAATGCTCTCCTTCCATGTAATACGCTCATGAATGGTTCCTCTCGCTTTGGAAGTGAATATGCAGGCAAACCCACATTACATTTGAGCTCTTTCCGTAAATAAGTTTATGAACCAGTTAAATATCTCACTTTCAGAAATATTACGGGAATGTGAAAGTTCCTCTTTCGTTTCTAAGGATGATTTCAAACTACTAGAACCGGTATACTGTAATCCCCATTCATGAATAGGAACCGGTTTCCCAACTCCAGAGATTAGATTAGATTGTCGGGGAGCTAGCTCATGGCCTGATTCACTGTGACTTTGTCAGATCTATTGTGATGCTCCTTGATTGTTAGAGCTCATTGTCTAGCTTGATCTCTTTGATAATACTCCATAGCCTTGACACTGACCCCTTCATATACCTGGCAGACTCTGGTTTATCTTCCCTACATGTTGCGTGTCTCAGTCTTGATATCGCTTCGCATTCACAGAACACATGCAGTGGTGTTTCTTCTGCATTTGCTTTCTTCTGTCAGACCCATGTTGCTCATATGTCTCCTGAGTCGGATATGCCCCGTTAGTAGACCCACCACTACCCTTCCAAACTTACGGTTATGGTTTAGCAGGTCTTTCAACTCCAGAGAAAGTGCTAACCAACACATTTTGAATGACATCTGGAATCACATTTATTGCTAACTCTATACAAGATGCATGTACATTTTCCTCAAATTCAGTATGCTATTACCTCATCAGTATCAGGTTTTTCAGGAATTTGAAAACGTTTAAGTCTTCCTGATGAAGAATTTAATCTCATTCAATAAAATTATAGATTTTGTCTGATACAGGACCTCTGAAACTAAGTATTGTTGATTGCAAACTGAAAAAAGTTTTATCAATGAATGCTTTTTCAGCTGCTTTATCTAACTCAATGTTTACTAACTGAGATACAACCGTTTCCTGTGATAATAATCTAGCCAATATGACACGTTTAGAAGTTAGGGTCTTCCTAGCAACTTTAACCGCACGAATAGGCAATGCATAATCAATTTCTTCCTCAGAAAGGTGTAACGGTTGTATTTTTAATTTTATGTAACAGCGAAGTAGCGAATTTTTCATAGAAAATCGTGGTTTTGTTATTCGCTGAAGTTTAAAAATTATATTACTTAGAAAAATTCTGTTCGCATTCACGCCAAATGCATATGTAGACATGTTGCTGATTTGCGAAGAGTGTCAGATAAATTCTCTTCACGCGACCCTTTTATGTAGAGAACGTTTTTATGGGGAAACCCCTCAGGTTACAAAACTTTGAATTTAAAAAATAAATTACTATAAAGATACTGTTGGCTGAGACTTTGATTGATTATAATTATTGTTTGTAAATTGATTTTCCGAAAGATATCAGAATCAAAGATATGAAATCTGGGAAGTCATAGAAATTGAAGTACACATAAACGTAGCCATCTTCTAGTTATTCAGCACAAATTCAACGAGATGAGCTGAATGTTATTTCAAAAAAACATCAGCAACTCAAAGTACTATTTCTCCTTTATGGAATGAGACTTTTTATTATAGATATTCTTATGGAAGTTTTGCGAAAAAGTTACTCATGCTCTTGAAATAGAAAAAAGTTAGGAGTAGTTTTTGAAAACATAAAAAATTGGTCTATCATGACCTTACCTGAAATATGAACATTTTCGGTTTATTGTTGAGGCTGACACATTTACTGAAAGGTCTCCATATCTCATGGGTTGCAATGGTACCATCTATAACATGTAGTCTACCAAATTCATCACCATGTGTCAAGAAGAAAACTATTAGACAGTTATATTCCTTAAGGTCCGAAGCCGCAACTGAAAAAATATCTCTCAATTTCAACAATAGTGAAAATGTTTCAACAGCCAATGTTTATATTATTGTAAATATTGTACTCGTACATAACGTATACTGTTAAAAAAATGAGGAGGTCAATGTTCAAATTTCGCGGGCAACGTACTTTCAATCAGCGATTTTTTCTAATTTTTTTGTTTATACACCCTTTCCGAATATATTGTTACAGTTTCAGCTGTTGAGTATATTCAGTTTGTTGATTAGAGGTATAAAAATTAGAAGTTTTTTGCGTGTTCGGCGATTTTCAGCTATCGGAAATATGGATAAAAAATTGCATAAAATTTTGAGTAAAAAAAGTAATTGAGGGCCCATAAACACTTGAAATGTTGACAATGGTATACGATGATTGTACTTCGAGTCAGAGAAATGTTTACAAGTGATTGGGATAGGTTAAGTCCAATTGGAGTTGGTCTATTCGACCCTCCACCGCAACCCGGTGCTTCTTAACGAAGTCGATTAGTTTGTATGGTGAGTGGTCTTTCACGTCAAATGGTAAGACTACGTCTTTGCCGAACTTTAAAAACATGATTCGGTCCTTAGCGGGGCAGGCACAAAGTATGTGCTCTGCTGTTTCATCATTTTCCGGCAGTCCGAGTCTCTGCATATGATGATTTATATGACAGTGACCTGTAAGGAGGCCTGTTAGATATCGTAGTTCATCCCAACTGTAGTCCAACAACTATTTGGTATCAAGCTTCAAAGGTTCACCGTTGGAATGAGCCATTCCTGGAAGATTCTGCCTGAAGTCCATAATTCTTTTTGCCATCCAGGTGTTGAATCTTTGTTTGACAATACCTAAAGCGATGCCAATGACAGGTTCTGGTCCGATGAGGTTGGCTTGCAGCACACTTCTTTGCGAGGGAGTCAGCAGCCTCGTTGCTTTCCTGGCAAGTATGGCCAGAAATTCAGACCAGAGAGAATCTGTTAAGTCGAGGAGAGTCGTTTTTGGCTATTTGTTACGAATTTAGAAGTTGCTCTGTAGGAGCCAAGAGCTTATATTTTTAATGACTTGTGTATGAGGTTCAACGATTGTGGACATACAGGATTGCTTACTTTTGCTATTTTGTTAGACACGTCACGTGGTCTCGTGACGTAACAGTGGTGACTCTGGATTTATTCGGTACTTATTGGTATAGTTGAATAAAAATTTGATAAAAATATACAGAAACAATGTAAAACTGTCCGAAAATAATCCTCAAAAAATGTTAAAATAACACACAGTCTTATGGCAGCTACTGAAAGTGTTACCAGTGTTACGTCACATCTGCTCGGCGCTTGTTTAACGTGGCGATATATGTAAGTAAGCAATTCTGTATGTCCATAATCGTTGTATGAGGTTGGATTCTTCCAATCCCTCCGCACACAATTCAATAGTGTAATTTTCTGCTTGATTGAATAGATTCGTATAGGTTCCTAGGCAGGTTGATATCTCTGTCCTGGGTCTGAGACTTAAAACACTTGCACCGTAACCGGAAGGTGTTTTTAATCCATCTGTGAACCAACAACTATATGCTCTGACATCTCCCGGAGGATCCAGTCCTCTCTACTCAGGAACAGCACTTTATAAGGCAGTTCGTAGTTGACAGTTGGAGGCATAAAGTCAGAGGTCATTACCAGAATGCTGTAACTTCCAGTGTCATCCAACAGTCGTTGCACTCTGCATTAAATTGATTTGTGCAATTGGCAATGAGCACAAGTCTATATGCAGTCCATCTAGCCTCTCTCACCTGAAAAATGTGGAGAGGAGGTAGATTTGGAAGGTCCCACATGGCCGCTGACTGTGTGGTACTGATGGCGCCACTGATGGCCAGACAAGCCTGTCTTTGTAACTTTAGTCAGAAAAATTTTCACAAGTGGTGCAAGATTTTCACAGAAGGTCGAGAAGATGTGAATGACGAGGCTTGCCCTGGAAGCTCCAGCACATCGACAACTAATGAAAATGTTGAGAAAGTGGAAATAGTTATTTATGTATCAAGGGAATTAGGAGGGCCTTAATTACCGATGGCAAAGTTTGCGTCCCGAGGGCCTCTGGCCCGAGGGACAGCAATTGCCTGAGGTTATTAAGGCTCATTAATTCCCGTGGTACATAGATAATTTTATTTCTGACCGATTTCAATANTTCAGTTGTTTAGTATGTTTGATGAGAGACATACAAGTTGGAAGTGTTTTGCTTTTTTGACGATTTTCTGCTATCGAAAAAAAATGGATCGAATAATTTGCTTCAAATTATGTGTGAAAAATGAAATTGTGTGCTCAAAAATACTTGAAATGTTAACAGTGGCATACGGTGATTGTACTCTGAGTCAGATAAATATTTACAAGTGGTACAAGCTTTCTATAGAAGGTCGAGAAGATGTGAATGACGAAGGTTGCCCTGGACGCCCCAGCACGTGAACAGCCGATGAAAATGTTGAGAAAGTGAAGAAAATTGTTACGGAAAATCATCGAATCGCTATAAGAGTTGCTGAGGATGCCAGCTTATCGGCTGGCTCATGTCATACAATTTTTTTGAAAATTTTGGACATGAAGCGTGTGGCAGTGAAGCTCTTTCAAAAATTGCTGAATTCCGTCCAAAAAGACCGTCGCATGAGCATCGTTCGGGAATTATTGAATGGTCAAAGACCATCCAGATTTGCTTGAAAGGGTCTTAAGGGTGACTAATCAATTATGTAATTATGCCAAAGCCACCGTATTCGCCAGATTTGTCCCCTGTAACTTTCTCATGTTGCCAAGATTGAAAAGACTCATGAAAAGTGACGACTGAAATGATAAAAACTGAATCGTTGAGAGAGTTTAAGATCATATCAAAAAGTGCACATCAGGACTGCTTCGAGACCTGGAAAAAACGTTGGCACAAGTATATTATATCTGAGTAGGGAAAGAAATAGAAATTGATGAATTAACAAGTATTTTTTTACATACAGTGCTCGAATACTGTTCAGCACAATTCTGACAGTTTTCCGTTAGTGTCTCCCACAAGGTGTTCACATCAGCAAATCATTGCTTATTTAGCTTTTATGTTGCAAATATCTTTACAGAGACTCAAGGGTGGTAAGGTCGGGGAATCTTGGAGACCACAAAATACTGAAGAAGTGAGAGTATATGATGAATATATTCGCATCTATTTTTAAATTCATCATTTTCTTAAACCAAATTCAGTTGCAAAATTTCAGGAGAAAGTATAAACTGATCTTACCTTCACTCATTTTATTTCTTACTTCTTCCACTGTGAAGTCAGTCATAATGTTTTCAGGATCCACATTGAAACCTTGCCGTTGGAAGCAGATAACTATTTCGTTGACGTCTCTTCTGCTCCCTGTTCGCCTTTTTGAGTCAGGATCATTGAACTTCTCTTGATTGAAAATTAAAATTAGTCCTGGCTCATGTCCGTTTCTAGGGTATTCGAATTTATCAATTGGCAGGTGTTTTCTTTCTTGAAACTTCCTCTCATCACCATTGATTACTGTAAATGAAATGATGTGAACGGAACGAATTCAATAAGAACTTACACGAAACACCAAACCTATATATTGTTCACTGATTAATATTCTAATTATAGAAATATAGGCTTTCATGAAACAAAATCCAGTAAAGTATCAGGCCAGATTTTGTCCTCTCTAATCAATAAGTATGTTCATTTCTAGAAGATTATGGACTCGATTTTGTTTATGTGCACATTATATGTATATGGGTGACCATATAAGGGAGGCATATTCTAGCCAAGATTTGACGTATGCATTGAAAAGAGTTGAAAAACTGTCTTCTGCTACGAACTTTCTAACAATTACGAAAGATGAGACCAAGATGAGCATTCGTTTGGCTGAGCATGGTATTGTTTCATTGTCTATGGAGAAACTGGGTCAAATGTGACACCAAGATCCCTTTGATGAGTGCTTATTTGAAAAGGTATGTTATTTATGCAGGGATCATGAGAAATAACATTATGTTTGAGGGTGTATTTCGAGTATTTACATTTGTTTGTGTTGAGGGGAAGATTATTTTTGGTAAACCAAAGGTACAAAAAGTCTAGGTCTTTTTGTAAGATTAAGCAGTACCTACTCCTGTAATGTAATGGCAGAAAGATTTTCAAATTATCTGCAAAGAGTAAGAGATTACTAGAGAGATTATTTCCTATGTCGTTGATGAGAAGTCAGAACAAAAGAGGCGCTAAATTGCTTCCTTGAGCGGCACCACTGTTTGCAATGAATTGGAACTATTTGTGACTTTTATAATCTACGAATAGGATACGTTCAGTTAAGTATGAGCGGAAAAGGTTTAAGAGTTGAGAGTCGAATCCATATTGGTGAAATTTATTGTCAAACGCCTTCTTTTTAACCTTATCATATGTATATGTATTTATATGTATGTGTTGGTGATTTTTCGGAATAAAATCGATTATTATTATTATTATTCTCAGAAACTTACCGATAGGGACTCGACAGTTTCTTGAAGCGTCTGAATTCGGAGGGGGAGAAGATGGTGCGGGAATCACAGGAGTTGATACAGTTTGGAAAGGGTTAGCATCGGTTTCAGTTGCCATTTTTATTATCACCAAATTGTATTGAACTGGTGAATTCCAGAATTCTACTGGACTCACTACTTGTTCACTCACTACTTCAGAACGATTTACTTTGTGCATACGATGTATTTGAAAATGTGTCAATATCTTATCTTATCTGTTAATAATCAATGATAGATATGGGTGAATATTTCAGGTGGATTCTTTGTTTGGTAAAAAATAGTTCTGAAGGAGACTCCTTTCCTCTATTGTAATCAAGATATTTTTGATAAGATAATCAATGATGATGACGTTGAATGAATCACAAACAATTTGCATTATGAGGCAAATACAAGGGTTGCCAGATCTAATCGAAAAATTGGTGTCGTGTGTAACGGATCCATCCGAAATAATTTCAGAAATGCTCATACAGTTTATCAAAACTTACACTAATTTCAAATTGTGATTCAGTACGAATGATACACATCAAAATGTGAATAATATCAAAAACATAGCTCTTCCTCCCAACGCTTGGGTCACATGTCCAAAATTAGTTTCCTGGTATTCTTTTAATTGGAACAATTGAGATGGTTGAGAGTCTCTTAGAAAAAACTACGTCAATACTGTAGTCAAACAAAAAATTCTCGGTATACCCACTATTGAAAGATTACTGGAGTTTTTTCCAACACCAAAAATCAGATTGGGATATACCATCATTTCGAGAGAAACTTGAGGCTTGCTTGGTATTGTGATGGAAATTGGGATGAAAATCGAAGAAAGAAAAAAATTATGAACTCTATGACTTTTTCAATATAATTGGAATTGAATAACAATAAACCACTTGAGTAGACTGTAATTCAAAAAACATTTACAAACAATTGTGATTATCATATCGATTTCTCATGCTTTCTAATAATTGTCAATTTTCTTGGAATCATAAATAATGCATCCACTATAACAACTCATTTACTGGTTTTATCGTCAACTCAAGTACCTAAAAATAAAAAAAAACATAATTATTTGTAATATCAGTTAGAAGAATATATGATTTGAAATCAAGTACATACAGTTCATATTTCTGAAATTCTCATTGCGCATTTGAGATAAATGAACTCAATATCAGGAATTTTTCACATAGTGTTTAGCAATCATTTTCTATTCACCATTTTTTAAATATTTATCAAAAATTAATTGAGAAATTCCTTTATCTATTAATTGTCATTAAAACTGGGAGAACAACGATAATTGGGAAACCAGTGACGTTTTTGTTGCTGTTCTCATAGACAAGTGCTTTCCAAGCAAAATATTGTCGAAAGGTATCGAAATTAGGGAATATTATAAAATAACAAAAATCTTATGACTTGTTCAAAACACCGAGTACCAATATTTGCTGAATGAGATATTATGGATACAATATTTGGATAATAATAGGTTCGTGAAATTCATTGCGTATAGTTTTGAATTGTGAGAAATTCATAGTATGAATATCTATATTACAAAACAATTGTACCAGAAGAGTAAGGCGGATATCAAATTCTTTCAATAACAACGATTAATTTACAATGCGGACAAAATAGATGTTATTTGTATTCACAACTGGCAAAAGAGAGTGGAAAACATACATTTCATGTGTGACCCTAACAAATACTGATCACAATGTAAGATTGTTGGGAATCATTTTAGACGAGTTTTTCAATTTGAAAGGCCATTGTCAACAATTAATATCAAAACTTACTTTAATGAAGTTTTTATAGCACAAAAGCAAATTCTGAGATACATAGCAATTTTTTTTTATAGAGAATCATGCAAGGCACTTTTTAATGAGTACGGTGTTTTAACTTTAAACATCAGTTTATATTTTTGACCTGTGTATGTATGTGTTCAAAAATAAATCAAGATTTACAACAAATCTAAAACTTCACCAACATGACACTAGAACCTAGAACCATTTTCATTTGCCATTAATTAGATTCAAAGTAACATCATGTTGATCAGAATACATAGGTCCAAAGCTATATAATCACCTTCCAGATCATTTAAAGACCTTGAATAGTTTTTCTCTGTTCAAAAAATCATTAAAAAATATTTATCAGAAAAATGTATTTATGCTTCGCAGGAAATCTTTGAATAATGCATAGTCATCTTAGTTGTACAGCATGAGCCTGTCTTGCTTTTTTCTTTTCTTTTTTAATTTGTATTGTATTGACACTTCCTACACAATTTTATTGCCCTACTGGAAATAAAGAATTATTATTATCATTATTATTCAAATTAACTTGATGCAACGCAGTAAACCATTTCGCGTCGCGTCTACTGTAAGACGGCGGGGGCGATGCGCAGGGGTAGAGGGGCGCTCTAAGAAATGAAGCAACATCGCCGAGAACGCGACTCAAATGCGAGCAGACGCGTGAGGGCAGACGTCGTTGACGGTTGTGTTGGTTTTTCCATTTTTCCCATAGGTATCATAATTCGAGAAGATATTAATTAGTTAGTGCAGTTGGCATATCATTTCAGTTATTGTGTTTTTATATTAACATACAGCCGAAGCTACTGAATCTAGAATCTCAAAATATGCAGGTAGGTTTTTTGTATAGCGTAAATAATGAGAAATGGAATCAGGAATTTTCACCTCAAGGAGGCAAAATAGGGATTCAAAGATTGACCCCTATTTTGCCTCCTTTCGTCAGTTTTGAAGTTGGAAACCTGACGTTTTGGGTACAACTAGTATATAATAGAAACGGAGTTCTCCAATGCGGTCCGTTGCAAAGCCGAACTGTTACAAAAGATTGAGCGTAGCATCGCTGATGGAACCGTGGCGAATAGAAACAGAGCTGACTGATGTTGGATCATAACGGCTTTGTTTTTTGGGCTTTAATTTCATTGGCTGCCTTGCAGTGAAAAACAGTGGTCTGTGTCGAGGCTTGGCTTTGCGAGTGACTGCCTTCGAGAGAGTCGAGTAAGAGGAGATGTCACCGTATTCACATAATCATCTTGTCATATTTGATGATCGCATCAAACTGATGGTGGTGAAATGAGAAAAAAAATTCTTCTTGCGATATAATAGTTCAGTTTCATGTGGATCCTCATATATCTCATCATAGATATGTTCCGTTTCAATTGAGATATTGAGCACTGTTGATTTTGAATCATCTATCACTATGTATTCGTCAGCTTGTATATGTAAGTTCTGTATCTGTATCTGTAGAGTAAGAAGGATGAGTGTAGATTCATAGCATACAGGCCACATGTGACCCATTGTACATCCTCCCATCCCTCTAGGTCATCGTCCATTCTGTCTTTTTCAGGAAGTTGGACAGGTCACTAGGAGACATCTCCTTTATATTGGCAGGTGTAGGCCAAGACTCGCTGAACACACACTCTCTTTGGCAACCTTGAGGTGTCTCACGGTGGTCTCCGCGAAGGTTTTGGAAGATGTAGCGACATTACTGTCGATGCACGGCTTCTTCAACCTTCTTGGGGTTCCCTCCGTGGAGGTGCACAAGTGAGGGGGTTTTCCTGTAGGGGCAGCTGGTTCCTCGCCTTCATTCAAGGCGAAGCTCTTGGCGCCCGCCGCCGGAAGTGCCCTTGTTGTTGGAGGTGAAGTGGGGGAGGAGAAAGGTGCCACTTCTGCCTCCTTCGCTCTCTTTCTCCTTTTGACCTTGGCACCGCAAATTCACCTAAGCATTGGCCTTTGCATGATATCACGAGGTGATCTGCTATGTCCAGCCTCATTTCAAGCGGTAGATTGGGGTGGACAGCCACTGCCTAAGATTGAGGTGAGCACTTCTGTCCAGCCTCGAATTGGTTTTTGTTGTTCCTGTTTTTGTGTTAGTTTCATTCACGTGTGTTCCTATGAGTAGCAAGGTAAGAGTTGGTCACCTCTGGCAGAGCCTCGTTTTACCAGAGGTAGGCTTATTACAATGAGGTTTCGCCCATTTTGAATTGTTGTGAATGATAGTTTCGAAAAAGATTGGAGATACGTTCGTGATATAATTAATTTGGATCAGCTGGTGGTCTATATAGCTGAAGACATCATATACTTGTACTATCAGAATGTCGATATATAATGAAAACTCGTTGTTTTTTATAATTTGAAAATCACACACCTTTTTTGTTAAGGCGAGGATGATACTCACGTTAACTTCAGGTGGTGTTGATAAGGTATAACATACTCCATCAGCAACATCTTCAGGAGAAAGGCGAGGGACATCATTATTATCTACTAGTTTCTGAATATCGTTCAGATTTCCATTTGCGAAAATATCTGTTGCCACAATACCAGGACTGATACTCTGAAATAAACTAGACGATACACAATCATGGAGAAACTGTAATTAGTGGAAGATATTTGAAAACTATGATGAGTAGGGTCATACTGAATGTGTATTTTTTTACCAATTCCAAACAGGTGTGAGGAATGAGGTGATCCCCAAACACGCTCCTGCCAAAAACCTTGCTGATAGACTTCAACTACCAGCCGAACAGTCCTCATCATCATTCCAAAATTCCTATCTTTGTCAGCTTTGACGTAGTATCCCGTTCTACAGATATCTTTCTATCCGGAACTGCTCACATGGGTTCCCCACTCTCTCCAGTCCTTTGACCCATTGACCCCAGACCCAATGACATGTTTAAACTCAAAAAACCTACGTGTTGTTCTCGATACGTAGATGGCGTTTTTGTTGTATGGCCTCATGGATTTGAAAGTCTACATACATTCCTAAACCATATCAACTCCTCACATTTCGACCTAAAATCTACAAATGGAAGTCAAAAATAACAACTCACTTTCATTCCTGGACGTTCTCATCACAAAATCCAAAGATTCCTTCACACACTGTTTACCGAAAATCAACCCATACTAACCACTACTTCAATGGTAAGTTTCACCAACATCCTGTTCAATTTAATTCTGTTTTGAATTCTCCCATACACAGGTCTATAAAACTCACTGGCAGAAATAATAGATCCAAGAAACTAGACGAACTCAAATCCGCCCTTCGGCAAAATGACTATTTTGAATCCCAAATCCAGAGATCCATCCAACTTCAGCAAACCAGTACCCCACACAACAAAGAGCCAGATTAACAGACATATCACCCCAAAGCTTTTTTTTCTTATATTCATGGAATGACCGATAAAATGAGTCAAATTATGAAGAGACACTTTATAAGAACAGTTTTCACACTTTTCCATGAACACTTGAGAACACAATACTCAATGAGGTACAGAGTATATAGGAAATACCATGTTCCACCTGCTCAAAGAACGTACATCGGCCAGACCAACAGAAGAGTCTCTAAAAGAGTCTATGAACATGAGCTCGCTGTCTGTGAATCAGATCCAGCCTCATCCCTCTTCAAACATCATTACTGTCACACCATGCACACCTAAACTCTGCAAGTCACAACCCCGTTCCCACCACCAACTCCACCATCGCTCCCACTACTGGTCCGCCCCTCCACTCGTCCAGTGACATAAATGTCAGACCAGAACCTGTGGACCGACAAGTGCGTAAGGGCAGCCGTAAACGCTCCAAGATATGTACCGAATAGGTACATATTCCGGGATCTAGACCTGAACATACACTACGTGGACGCATACATGAGGAAACACGCAGAGGACACGTTCGACAGAATTCGAGCGCACGACAACTCAGCGCTAAGCGACCTACATTACGCACTAAACAGAGATGACCTCAGCTTCCGAGAGAGGGACAAACACAGGAGGCCAACGAAGCAGAACCAAAGACCACCGCCGAGAGTCGCTGTCAGGCGGCTCCGGTAAGTATAAAAATTTCTCAACCAGACTTCAAATTAATCTCATTTTCAGGAAATAATTTTACCTATTCTCACAAAATTGTATAGAGCAAGTCTGGCGTGGAACTACATACCACCCAGTTGGTTGGCAGCAAGGATGGTATATATACCTAAAGTGGGCCGGAGAGACCCACACTCCAAATCGGTACGACCAATCAGCCTTACATCCTTCCTGCTGAAAGGAATTGAGAGGATACTGGACGGTCATATCAGGAGGGTAGCATTATATGACTCGGACAGTCAAGCGGCGTTGGAAGCTCTTGGCTCACACCGAGCAACGACTAAATTTGTAGCAAATTGCCAAAAAAGACTCTCCTCGATAGGAAGACTAAACAGTTTGCCTCTGGTCTGGATTCCTGGCCATACTGGCCTGAAAGGCAATGAAGCTGCTGACTCTCTTGCAGAAGAGGGTGCTGCTTCATTGGACCTGATCCTATCCTTGGCATCGCTTTGGGCTTTGCCAAACAAACACTTAACACCTGGATGGCAAGAAGAGTTATGGATTTCTGGCAGAATCTTCCAGGATTGGCTCACTCCGAGGCCTTTATTCACCCTTCGAAGCTTGATTCCAAACAGTTGTTGGACTACAGTAGGGATGAACTCCGATGTCTAACAGGCCTTCTTACAGGTCACTGTCATTTGAATCATCACATGCAGAGACTTGGACTGTCAGAAGACAGTGTGTCGCCTCTGTCTGGAAAATGATGAAACTGCAGAGCATATACTTTGTGCCTGCCCCGCTGGGGACCGAATCAGGTTCTTTGAGTTCGGCAGATCCGTACTCTCACCATCTAACCTGAAAGACTACTCAGCATAAAAACTAATCGGCTTCGTTAAGAAGCTGGGTTTATTTGGCCGAGTGTGAATAGGTGTGAGCCACAATAAACCCTTATCGGTTGCGGTGGAGGGTCGAATAGACCCAATCACTTTAGAGTTACCTACCAACCTACCTCCTGCAATAACTCAGTTAGGAAAGTCATGATAAAACAATTCAACAGATCAGAAAGTGAAAGCACCTAAAGGAATGCTCCGGAGGAGCGGGGGCGGATGGACGAAATGTGATGTTCTGCACACATTAACCGTGTGGGAAAGATTTCAACTCGGCACTCAATCCGGAAGGGGGCGTGGGAGGGGTAGACCGACAGTCGATGCTTGGGACTAGGCACTCTAGGCAGATTCAGAATACGGCGTCAAGTCACACAACCCTTATGGTCCATGTAATCGCACCAGGGATATTCTATGCATCTTGGAGTGTCACTTCTCTCACCCTCTACCCCTCTTCTTCTCTGATTGTACGCATATTAGTATGAGAGACTTTGATGATTCAGTGGTAGCTGGTGTCAACAGTCAACGATACCTTTCAGTGAATGCTTAGAATTTTTGTTCCTTACCGTAATTTTTATTTTCAATTTCATCTTATTAAACTCCTGTCTCAAAGTTTCCGTCATAGCTGTTACTGCGTGTTTTGTTGCAGGGTAAATGCTAATTCCTCCTACGTCGGTTAGTGTGTGTCCCGCTATGCTATTCATGTGTATGATGTGACCATCGATATTGTTTTTCTTCATATCCTTGACTGCTTCTCTGGTTGCAATGCATANTTTTTCTTCATATCCTTGACTGCTTCTCTGGTTGCAATGCATACTCCTTGAAAATATATTCAGAATTAGTTCTTGAAAATTTTGATTCAACCAACGGAAATATGAATAATGCAATCACTTCCTGGTGGGAAGATCATTTGATATTGCGCTATCTGGTGGATTCTGACATGGAAAGTGCCTAATTTTTTACGTAGAAGTGCGAAATCTTGGACGTTTAGGTCATTTTTCCTTGATAAATGCTACTATCTACCGTGAATACTTTGGCTGAACATAGACTGGAGAGACGTTTCAACTGACTTTACGAAACTTCTGAGCTATCGTAGGAGGAAACAATTTTGAAGAACTTTTTGGGATGAATGAAATTTATCCATTTATAATGTTTTACTTTTTCACCAGTTTCTGGATTATATACAAAAAAAAATTGAGAAATAAGTCAATTTTGTCCCGTATTATCTGAGTTGTGGAAAAAGTATAATTTCCCCATTTATTGTTACATATTATTCCTTCGGAAATATTAGGTGGAAAATTTGACGGTTTTCGAAAAATTATGGAAAAAACACTTTTCCGATTATTTGATGTCATTCAAGATATGAGAGTCTGAAGCTCTTTGCAGGGTCGATGATTAGTAGGAATTTCGAATCAATATTTTTTTTCTTCAAGATTTATGGTACACCGTACTTTGGCGAACTGCTGACATATCGATTGACATACAAACGGATAGATGGAAAACGAATAGATGACCAGATAGACGGATAAGCGAGAAGACGGACATACAAACAGANTATGTGTGACTCGCTACAAATATTTTCTACAATAGGTAGTAGAATTAAGTGTCAATTTATCTATCTACTCACCGAGAACATTTACATCTAAAAGTTTCTGCCACTCTGCAGTATCACCCTCAGCTAGAGTAGATCCAGAAATGCAACCAGCATTGTTTATCAATACGTGGATGGGTCCTATATTTTCGGTCACGTATTTAAATGAACTCAGTATGTCGGCTTCAATGGACATATCACATTCATAAGGATAGAATTTCTCCTGTGAGCTGTGTAATTGCTGTTCAAGTTCTTTCATACGGTCCAAACGCCTCGCAAGTCCTATAACCTAAAAAAATATTCCTTTGGTGCCTCAGTTGCTCCACTCAAAATGTTTTATCTCACAAACTAATAATCCGACAGCTGTGAAATTTGTACAAGTGTCTTTAAAATGTTAGGGGTGACTAAAAATCATATGGGTTCAACCGTCTATTTTTCGGATTCGTAATCTACACTTAAAAATATGTGAGTACAACTGAGGGTGCAGCTCATCCAAAATATCACCAGAATTTCAATTCAGGAGGAAGAAGTTTGTGTTTTTTTAAAACAAAGAGGAAAGAATGAAGGAGCTGAGCTCAGAGGCATTCAATTGCTTTTCTTCTTCTGAAAGATGGAAAAAATATTATTCAGGTGAATCGATATTTGACTGAAATGGAATTTATTTAGTTATTTAAAATCACCTATTAGATCAAATGTAGGATAGAAATCAAAAGAAGGTTTCTTCAAAAAATGTATAATTAAGGAAGTAGGTGATTGTGTAAATCTTCAATCTCAATTAGAATTTGTTATTGCTTTGTGTAGCAATAATGAATTGAAACTCAATGTGGAGAAATGTAAAGTAGTGAGTTATAGTATAAAAAAAAGGTTTATACAGTCTCGTATGTAATACAGGATTCAGATCTGCTGAGATGTAATGAGATTGAAGACCTAGGGGTGATATTCGATCATAAATTAACATTTGGTAGACATATTTCACAAAAAGTTTCAGAATCTCTCAGAGCTTATGGTTTCATTGTTAGAAATTGCAGAAACTTTCATAATATTAAAGCCATGAAGCTGTTGTATTTCACTCACAAATTGTGTTCAG